ATTTTTTAAAATTCTCAAATTCAAGATGGCGGACGTGGGCTAAAATGCTATCTCGGTTTCTGTTTGTTCGAGTCTTGTGAAACGCGGTATCACACGGTATTTTTCAACGGAAAACTCGAATTTTTAGTCAACTTTTTAAAATTCTCAACGTTGGATGTGACCTAAAATGAGCCCCGGTTCTGGCCTCCGTTTCTGTTCGTTAGAGCTTTGTGAAACGCGAGATAAGGGGTACTTTTCGACGGGAAACTCGAATTTTTAGTCGATTTTTGAAAATTCTCAAATCCAAGATGGCGGACGTGGCCTAAAATGCTATGTCGGCTCCTGTTCGATGGATTTATGGCGCCCCCTTACTACATGCCTATACTCTTGTATTTCTGTACAACCGCTTTAGGGTCAAGGGGCGCCTGACCGTCTATGGACCAGGTGGAGTTTTTGTCCTGAAAATTTACCTTTAGAAGGCAATTCTCTTTATATTTTGTCTATGGTTTTTATGCCCCCCCCTTTCTCCCGGACTCTCTTTTCACTTTACTTGCCTCCTTTTTCCTTCCATTTCCCCCCCTTCTTCCTTGCTTTCACTGCCCAACCTTGTTTCCTTTTCCTTTTTTCCCTTTGTCCTCTCTTCCCTTTTTTTCCTTTTCCTTTTCCCCCTTTTATTCCCTCTCTTCTTCTTTCGTGGCGCCCCCAAAGGCTGGCGCCCGTGTGCGCGGCACGCCCTGCACACGCCCTAAGTCCGGGCCTGAATGCATCATATGCACCTACTATATATTTATAAGTCATGCATAAGCCATGCATAGACAGATTCCCTTGACATGACTGTTATTAGTTAATAGGCTCTAAATAGTGGGAATAGGATGTTTTCATGGATGTTCATTGTTTAGTATCACCTTTTGTAGAATAGATATTTAAAACATCCGAAGGGGGGGGGGGGGGGGGGGAGGGAGGAGAGCGGGATGCCTGCTCGCTCTCCACATGGAACATTTTGGCCCTGCCTCAACAGCAAATTTTTGCGAGGTTTTTTTTTGTTTCCTCTTCTTCTCTCTTTCCCCCAGTGAAATTCAGAAAAATGAGGGAAAATAAGAATTAAGCAGTTAAATCAACCAAGATTAAAAGAAGTATGTATAATAAAGACAAAATTATCATTAGTGGTAACCATAATATTACTTCTGCTGATCTTCCAAGTAGTACTCATAGCTAGATAAAATTTCTTATATTTCCTTCATTTTTCTGAATTTCACTGGGGGAAAGAGAGAAGAAGAGGAAACAAAAAAAAACCTTGCAAAAATTTGCTGTTGAGGCAAGGCAAAAATGTTCCATGTGGAGAGCGAGCAGGCATTCCGCTCTCCTCCTCCCCCCCCCCCCCTTCGGATGTTTTAAATATCTATTTTACAAAAGGTGATACTAAACAATGAGCATCCATGAAAAACATCCTATTCCCACTATTTAGAGCCTATTAACTATTAACAGCCATGTCAAGGGAATCTGTCCCTACTATGCATGGCTTATGCATGACTTATAAATACATGGTAGGTACATTATGATGCATTTTCAGTAGGATTACGGTATGTTTTTTGCTATAACTCAGGAGCCGCTTGGTGGCCCACAATGAAACTTTGGGAAATGCTTCAAGATTATGATTATGTAAGGATCACCTTCAAAGAAAATCAAAATTTTAAATAATGCCCTTTTTGAAGAATTCAAATTTGAAAATTCAAAATTTTCCAAAAATTTTCAAAATTTTTTTCTTTTAAATTTTTTTTTAAAAGAAGAACCTCTAGGCTTCAAACAAGACCTAGTTCAAGTTTTTCCGATGAACCGTTGAAAAGTAACAGCCGTTCAAAGTTTTATCGGTCATAAAAAAACTCAATTCTTTCCAAACTTTGAAATTCCGTATAAAATTAACAGAGCGACCAAATGACCTAAAATTTGGGGAATATTTCTTTTCCAACAGGAACTTGCAGCACACCAAGTTTGAACATGATCCGAGAGGTCAAGGTTCAACATCTCGTTGAGTTGACATGGAATGACCCTAGGGCGAGGACTAAATTTTGAGATTGTCATGGAGAAAGGGTGTTACCTACTATTTCAGGGAGACGATTTTTCTTGATCCATCGAAGACTTTTCCTTTGAGAAACTGTCATCAATGAGCAGCTTTGACCGCAACAAAGGATCGCTCACACTGAGACAGGTGCTCAAAGTTCCTACGCTAGGCTTTCGGGTACAGTAATACACACCATTTGTCACTTCAACGATAAATTTAGAGCACAAGTTGTTTAAATAAAACCATAAAACAAGCTTAATTTCCATCTGTATGCTGCAATCATAAGATGCTGCTCTTGGAGAACGATTCCTGATGCAGACACTCGTAGACATAGAACTGAAATGTAAACTTTGATTATTACCGAAGTAATGGTTTATGATAAAAGAGTAACACCGCTAAAGCTGAGACTTGAAGGAGAGGCACAATTAAATCCTCTACGAGGAAAAAAATCAGATCAAACCGACGAACAAGTACTATTGGCTTCAGCTTCAACCATTAGGAGCGAAAGGAACAATGAAGAAACGCGATAAACTTTAGAAACTGAAGTGAAATGGTATTAAGACGACACTGATTGAGAGACAAAAAACCATTTTAAGTCACAAAAGATGATTTTAATTTGAAAATTTGTCAAATTTCAGATCGAGAACTGCTGGTGGCTATTTGCAATGAAAATGAACACACATGGTTTGGTTGAGGTTAGGTACAGCTTTTTTTTTGAGACTTGATTCAAATTGAAAGTAAAAAAACAGAAACATAGTAGGTGTAATTTATTAATAGCTTTGTAATCGCTTTGAGAAGCACTTTAGAGAGGTTTCCACGAGAAATTTTCTTTCAAATTAAAGATAATTGAGGAAAATTGCAAGCCAATCAAAAGCCGGGAAAAGCTGGTGGCACCGATGAGTTGCACCGAAGAAAACGTTGCGAACGATGCACTCAGAATAGTGTTTTTCAAATGTAGTGGTAGTTGTTGATAAATGATAAGTTTGAAAGTTGCTCAATCGGCTTGCCATAAGTGTACATCATATAAATCTACTACATAGTTAAGTTTCTTATGAACTGATATTTATCAATAATGTAAATACTTCTTGTATGGAATTTCAAGATTCACTCCTGTGGACTGTGGATTCGCCTCCATCAGGTAACAATGAGCTTATTGTCCCTGCAATACTTATCGATTTTTTTTCTTTTATGCCAGTAGAGCCAAGAGTCATACTTTGTGGTCTTTTGATAAATCACTAATGAAGGAATTAGAACTGATAATTTCACTGTTCTTACTCATGGCACCAGTCTGTGTTTGTGCCGTCAGTGGTTGCTTTGTTTGCGCTATCAATTCAAGTAGCAGTCAAGCTGCCCATGAGTATGTTTGTAACTGAACTTCATCATCAAGATCTTGTTGCTTTAAAAGTCTAAAGTATTTAAGAACCAAGTTACTATAATAAATTGTTGTATGAAACTCACCACTAAGCGGTGCCACCCACGGGAGACATGAGCGTACCAAAAGTGAGGCTCTGGTGAGCGCGCAGTTCGCATGTTTGAATTGTAACTAAGCGGAAGATCCGAACCGCAGGGGAAGTTGTGCTATTTACGATTGCTTGAAAATTTTTCTAATAATTCTTCTCTGTCAGCGAAATGTTCTATAAACATTTCAAGCCATAGCATTGGCTCATTCCTCCAGCAAAATAAAATAAGAGCTGATAGTTTGAAACAATGAAATGAAGTTTCGGGGTTTCGCACTTCGGCCATCAACGTATCTAAGCTTCTACTTCAGCGTACAAGGGCGCTCTGTGACCCTTACTTGGCATTTAAACCTATCCTCCCCCAGATCATCAGACGAATGATACCTTCTGATCTCTTCTTCCACTCCCTGCCTTCAGCCTTTTACAGGATGCCCTCAGTGCCTTCTTCTGAAAGAAAACTGAGAGCAACCTAATCGAATACTTGTTTAGGCAACCGACCATCCGCCATCCTCTGCTCATGTCCTCACTAAATCAATTTACTCACGTACCCAGTTGTTGATCTATTTCTTTCTTCCTTTTTTTTAAGGCACAATTTTCATCCAGCATAAATTTTGAGACTTTTAACTTTACACAGCAATTTCAAGATCAACCTGTGAAGATCAATGATACTACATCAAATTGATAAATAGGTTTTAAATAACCATTTGCATGAATTGTCATAAACCTGTGGGAAGATAGTGTTTGATCCACCTCTCCAAGCTAACTAGCTTGGGAGGCGTAGCATAGCTCTTGTAAATGATCACTCTCAAACTTAATGTGATACACCTTATTGCAAAACTAAATTCAAAAATGAACTCTCAGAAACGAGAAAAATCCTAAAAAACACAATACTCAACCACACAACTAGACAGGATCACCCAAGCGCTCAGGGCGTCAGACCACAACAACGTAAACCTAAAATAAGCGCTTAGCGGACTGCCTAGAACCAGAGCTGAAGCCAGCGGATATTGTTCTGACCCCGAAAAGCTGGCCCTGAGACATCGCAAACGCTTAAAAATTCGCCTTAAAAACCATGTCCACCGACTTCTCTTCCTATGCCAAGATTGCAAACAAGCACTAAATACAAAAAACACACAATTTCCCTAGGAATTGTGTGTGTGTTTCATTGTAGTTAGTATTACTTACCGAAAATGAATATCCTCTAAGTAACAGATAAGAATGATACTGAGAAAGAAAAATTCCAGATTTATTGCACGCTTTCATTAGAATACACTTTGTGTTCCTGCGTTCATGGCTTTTAATGAGGACATACTTAATTTTGCACGTAAAATACTTTTCTCCTAAATGTGATCTGATTCTAAGACAAGTCATGACTCTTTTTCTCTAGGTACTAAGGAAACAGTCTAATCATGGAAACGAATTTTAAACCCCAGGATGGAAATTTATCAGACCAGGAGACAGATGAGCAATCCTCCACAACAGGCGACTCCTTGGGACTCTATGCATATTATCCCAGCATAGATTTTCCTTTTAGCACACGAAAATTCAAAAGGTAAGCATCCAACTTATTTGCATCAACCCAGTGGTAGTCTGCAGACAGGTAGCAAGTCTTATCAATCCCATGTTTCTGCAACCCCGATAGTCTTACAAATCCTGGTACTTTCAGCATTGCCTTGTCTATATTTTGGGATGTCAACTATCAGTCTAGTCTCTGCAGTTCTTTAATGAGTGTATAAACCCTACTTTTCCTACGCCTTATGTGATGGGGTTTAGCAAAGTGTCCTTTGTTCTCTACGCGGATGTTTTGACAGTTTTTAGATTTGTAAGATATAATCCCAGTGCCATGGGAATACTGAATCTTTTGTTTTATTTTGTCAAAGTTTGACATCTCTCCTCATGTTTTTTTATCTTTTGTTTAAGGCAGATAAAGCCAAAGTGAAAAAAACTTTAAGTATTTTTGCAGTGTCTTTCAAGTGCGTGCTTCATATTTATGGCTGTCCAGCAGCCTGATTGTTGAAATTGTTTGTTTGTCGGGACGACATAGATGACATAGGTTAAAGGGCGGAGCGTGATTGGTCGGCTATGTCTTATCGCTGCTTTGTCGTGCCTATGTCGGGTTGACCTCTCGACAAGCTAACGGCACCTCTTAAGTTTCCGACAGTATGTCGATCATTCCGAGAGTATGTCGATCATTCCACCCGACAAAGGCACGACAAAGCAGCGATAAGACATAGCCGACCAATCACGCTCCTCCTTTTAACCTATGTCATCTATGTCGCCCCGACAAACAAAAAATTTCAACAATCAGGCTGCTGTCATGACATCTTTTTTCATTTGTGAACTTTCCCTTTAAAAGGAACTTTAATGTCAATAAACTGAAATTACTACTATTTTTGTGGGGGTATGTTAAACAGACATTTTGGCATCAAAAATACTTGAAAACGTTAGGTAAACTAAACTGGATTTAAGTATGATGGTTTGAGGCTTGCTGTCTGAAGAAAGTTGTGATTTTACAGAAAAACTGATCAAATTGTTTTATCTTCATAACAATGTCACCTTAAAATGGCGTTTTATGTTCTCTTTTGGCTCAGAAAAAAAAATAAACTGCTCTTGAGTTATTGTCATGCGGTATACCAGAGAAGTTCCATTAAGGTTCCTTTACTTACAGATGGTCACTTTATGTTCCGGAATTATTTCAAACTGATAATTCATTGACTACTGTTACAATTTTAATTTTTCAGTTTGCTATGTGCCAAAATGAATAACATTTTGGAAAATGTAAGATTTCATGCCATCCTACTCACAGAGTTTTCAAATAAATAATCGCGAGAAAGATATGTCATCAGTAAAGTGTCAGTATGAATGAACCCCCTTATTAAAATGCGACTTATTGATAAATCAATTGGTCAAATTGGTCTTTTTTATCAGGGAATGGCATTAACCTAATTCTAATTTACACTCAATTCTGTTTTACCTTTTTCAGTCGTTTGGGTAAGAGGAGACACACGATAAATCCATTTCGAATCTCCACTGATGTGGTGGAACCACAAAACGAAAAAAATAGCTCGGGCAATAATTCAAGAGAAGACAGTAGCAGTCTTAAAGAGCCATTGAAACAAACATCTACCAACATTTTTAGAGGGAACACAACAACCCTGAACAGTCAACCACCTCATCAGCCTTCTCAAGGAAAAAATGTGTTAGGGTCTATCAGTCTAAATTGTCCAAATTCTAAATCAAATCAAATGTCTAAACAAGTCAAAAATGAGCCAGAAACTCAGCGTGCAAGATTAAACATTGACTTGGATGCACGGAATTTTATCAACATATTTGACATGCCATCAGTGAAATTAGCTGAAACACCACCCAGGTTCAAGCCCTCTCTTAGTCTTCCTCAGTTGCGTAATCCCAAAGCTGGAAATCCATTACTCGATTCAGCTCCTCCTGCTGCGAAGGATCTGTCAATCAATAATTCGCCCCAAAAAACTGCGCCCAAGGCTATGGAATCAGTATTGGATTTATCGATGGACAATCGTGCCAAAGGTATTCCTTGTGTTGTCTCACAACCACAGATCATAAATCCTAACTTTGTCGTACCGAAATTGAATCCACGACCGCAGAGCAAACCCTACTCGTTTTCATCAGATGTTGCCAAGTTTCGTCAAAAAGAAGGTGGGCCGAAGGTGACCATCCAAAATGCATCACAGCCGTCCAATCCTAGCAGTACTCCGTGCATTAAAGTAAACAACAGATCCTACAGTATTCATAGTACCATTGGGAAAGGAGGCTCTAGTGAAGTCTACAAGGTAAGGAAGTTTCTTCTGATTTTAAATTTTACAAATTTGAACAGTCATACCATTTGTTAGAACCTCGGAGGAATCCTCACAGAAAGAGGGGCCCATTTCCTAGCATATCTAAACCTGAAATCGTTCGAAAATTGCAAGGGTGTCTGTAGAGCTTTAAAACATTCAGATTGAGTCTAGTGATATTAAATATTACGACACAGAATTAATTGGATGGCATCATTCAGATGAAAGCCAACTATTTTGGCTAATTTTAGAAAATACATTTTTATCATCGATCTCCCTATGCGAAATCTTGTTTTATAAATAAGCCAGAAAAGTCAATTCAATACATTTTGAAAAATCTTGACTTGAAGGTTAAATCTCCAAGATTAGAAGTATAAGTGCATTATGAAATGCCAACTTTCTGTTTCTTTTATCAAAAGATATCCTGTTCAAATCAAAAAATATGTAATAAGATCCAGTGTATGTCTTTTGCACATTCATGCACTTTTTAATCATCTGCAAGATTTATTCAATAACCCAATATCATACTTTAGCCCATATGTTCATCAAATGCACATTGGATCAATAATTGACCAATGCATAGCTTCTCAAAATCTAGTCTTTAAGATTGGATCTCCCAGATTAGAAGAAAATAGTAAAATCTGAATATTTAAAGTATAATGGAATGACAAAGTGAAATAGTGAAAGTAGTAATAGCTACCCGTAAACTGTGTAATGCTGCCTCTTGGAATGCACACCGCCAATAATTGTATTCTTGGGTTCTAATGGCATTGGTTGATTATGTTACAGGTGGAGGATCCTGGCAGCAAATCTTTCTTAGCTGTAAAAGTTGTAAAATTAGCAGCAGTCGATGAAGCAATAGCTGAAGGATATATGAACGAAGTTAAACTCCTCGAGAAATTACAGGGCTGCCCGAGCGTCATTCGCATGTTTGATTAGTAAGTTCAAAAATTCATCTAAATTTTTTATTCTTTGTCCTGAGAAAATAAACAATTCTCGGATTTCTTAACTCTGCCTTTTTTGTGCTTTGCTTTTTTTGTGCTAAATTTGCTTTTTTTGTGCTAAATTTCAATAATTCAAAGCTGATAATCATCTGTAATTATCCTCTCGATACTGTGGCAAACTGGGTCTGCTGCTCACAATGATAACGGCCACTTGAGTAGATTTTTCAAAAGTAAAATTGCATAAAATTGGCAAAAAATGAAGGTCGCTGTCACTTGGACTGCAGATGCGGTATTTGAAAATGTATGCGGATTACCCAAATATTGATTGGAGGAGTGAGAACATTTTACAGATTCTTTAATTCAATTTTTCGTGCAATTTTCTTGACCAAAAATTTACTCAGTTGGCTGTATCTCTTGCTTCTTTCAGACCAATTGTGACTATAAAATAGTGATGTCATATAATGACTATTATAATCCAATTTATTCACTTGATGAGCACTGAGCAGCAGCTTATAGGTTGGCACTACTGTCTTTCTGATCACCACACACGTACACTTGTCCACTAAATGAAGGATGTAAGTGTGTGAGACACAAGCTGATACTGGATTTTCTAAAGGGTGATCACAAAAGTACCGCACCAGTGGCATCCTCGTAATTTTTTAAAAATTGTGATAGAGACCACAAATTTTGAGAATGCTCCTATGTCAAAGCAAAAGAATGTTGGAACTCTACAAAATTTTAAGCGGAATACCCTAAAATGGGACAAAAACCCTAGAAATTGAAGGGATGCTAAGGGATTTTTGGATCACTTTGTATGTCCTTGCGTACATTTTCTATAACTGCGAAAAGATGACTGATAAATCTCTAAAGCTCAAAATTTTAGCTCGACCGATCCCTTCTTAGTGTCAATTTAATTTTATTGGCTCCGCAGTTTAATAATAGTGTGTTTTCCAGTGAGTACATCCAAGAAACCAAAAAACTGTATGTTGTAATGGAGTTGGGCGAAACAGATTTATCGCGACTACTGAAGGACATCAAGAAGACAAAAGAGATTTCTCCAATTCGGATCCTTTATTATTGGACAGAAATGCTCACCGCTGTACAAGAAATTCATGAAAAAGGTAAATAACTCATTTTGATCTCGAATCTTACTTTCGTATCGTCATCACTTTCTAAAAACCAAATCACAAAACCTTAAACTCTGTGAAGGTTTTTTGGTAACTCTTTTGTTTATTGACTCTTTTTGGAGAGTTGCAGAAGAGTCTTAAGTAAATATAGAAGTATGAGACTCACTTACATGTATATAATTTATTCTAATGTTTACTTGATTCGAATCTCTGGCATCCCTAGTGCAATTGATTGCAAGATAAAAATCGGCCAAGCCAGCTTACTACGAAACTATCTGTCGTCAACTTTTTGAAAATTTCTACAGCCATTATTTGCTTAGCTTTAAGCTTGTTGTTAGGCCTTTCTCCAACTCTAAGTCAGGCCCCGGAACAAAAAATTCCTTGAAGCAATGTTCCTTTTGAACCAGACTTAAATCAGTTTTTTGAGCTTGAGACTTCAGATAGTGTCGTAGTGTTGCAGGGGAGATGATCCAGGACAGCAAGAACCCAAAATGCCAATAGAGGCATGCCTGGCATGCCTTAACCACACTTTGACTGTAAAACAAAGTCAGGTCAATATTTTTGTTGATCCTCCCCTTTTTTCATAGGGGAAAAAAAAAAAAAAAAAAAAAACTGAACTACAAGAACAAAAAACTTTCAAGCCTCACGAAACTTAAGTCTTCTACCAGACTCAATTTGCCTCCTTTATCTAAGCCCTTCCCTTTGAGGAAAGAAGAAGAAAACAACCTTTTTGTCTCCAAGAAATAGAACTTTTCCTCCTCTGAAACGCTCCTAAAATCGAAAGTAACAACCGAATCTTACTGTTTTCACTCGTTCCTTGGGACCACGTATGACTAATCAAGCAGCATGAAATTTTTTGCTCCCATGTTAGGGCAGAAGTTTTAAAACTTTTCTTGCTTCTGGTATTGTCAAGTAAGACTAATGGGTTTTTGGCCTTGCACCTCTTTCACAAGTCTTGTTTCTCTTTTTTTCATTCTTCAAACCAAAAAGCTTGGCCTCAGGACTTGCCTATGTATTCTATTGCTATCTCTCACTTTCCAGGAATCATCCACTCAGATTTGAAACCAGCCAACTTTCTCTTCGTCTCTGGAAGACTGAAGCTGATTGATTTCGGTATTGCCTCTTCATTGCAAGGCGACATGACGTCCGTGCACAAGGATATTTGTGCGGGAACAGAGAACTACATGAGTCCAGAAGCAATCAAAGATGGTACTGGTGGCAATGACAAAAAATACAAGGTAATCTACCTAGAAAATTTGTTTGTTTGAGAAAAAGGAAATAGAAGTTTATAGTAACAAAAATATATACGTATATATTAACAGTCCTCTATAAGAATGCAGAAATTTTGACCATCTCATGCCATTCTCGAAAAGTAAAAAATAATCTAAAATGATCAGCAACAAAAAATTAACAATTTAACAATTTATGCAATAAATTACAAATTCATCATGCTCACTTATGAACAGCCAGAAAAATATATGGAGTAGTAATGAAGTATATTATAATTCACCAAAATTACAGCAAACAATGAAAACATGAAAAATCAGTATTTGAAAGTGTTATTTGAATGATATGAAGAATGTAAATACCAGATGTATGTGTAGTATAAATAGTAAAATGTAAAGTTTCTTGAAAAGTCACTTTCCTTTGTTTCAGATATCATATAAATCAGATGTGTGGTCTTTAGGTTGTATTCTTTACAATTTAATATATGGGAAAACTCCTTTCTCGCACATCACCAGTCGCTGGGGAAAAATGTATGCAATTATCAGCTCAAGCCATAAAATTGATTTCCCCAACCATCCAATTCCCCCAATACTACGTCAAGCCATGCAACGATGTCTCATTCGGGATCCAAAGCAGAGGCCAACAGTGAAGGATCTCCTAGATGGCGCCACTGGGTTTCTGTTTCAGTCGCCATGCGTCTACTCCTGTAAAGATCTCCCTCTCAAGATACAGCAAACACTGCCACAGGAATGTTGGCTGAAAATCGCTCATGTAAGTACATTCAATTACTAATTCAAACTCTGGATTAAGTATGTAGTATACGCAAAATTGAAGGATGATCTTAGCTTTTTGCCTATCTCAAGTCTCCGGCTTACATGAATATGTTGCTTGCATCAACATTAAACTCTGTAATTTGTCCGATATTGAGGTAAAAACTTTAAAATGTTTCGTGATATGAATCAACTACTAAAAAATTTCCATATATGCCAATACATTGTGATACTTGGAGGTGAAATCTGTGTACATTCAAATGATTTTAAAAAATGGTTGGATAAATCGTGTATTTGGTGCGACATTGCAGTGATTATTGGGTAATTAGTCCCTTTTTTTTCAAAATCACTGAAAATTGGCGCATTTAATGCGATATTAAGATGATAAGTGCATAATTTTTCTTCTTCTCTTTCTTCTTCTTCATGAAACCGCTGAGAATATTGCGTACCTATTTTTTGCGATATCGTGGAGAAACTCGCATAATTTCTCTAGTTTTCACACTCGAAAATCAATTAAGCAGCTATTCGAACTCTGCAGTAGATATTTGGTATCATGCGAAGTTGAAGGAAAATCATAGCTTTTTGCGTATCTCAAGTTACCGACGTACATGAATACAATGCTGGATTGATATCAAATTCGCCTATTTTCCGCGATATTGAAGTGAAAATTATTTTTTCTCAAGTAGGGTTCCTAGTGACTGTAAAAATATTCGGAATCACACTGCCGTACTAAAAAAAACGCTGTATGAGCATTTGAGAGCTGCAAAATTCCCTCCACTGAAATATGCATGAGGAAAGTTTTTAATTGGTATTTTCTCATGAAATTTTCAGCCTAGTTAGACTTAATCATGAATTAAAATTCACTGAAAAATTCGAAGATAAATATTAGCAGATGTTCCTGAAAATTTATATTTTAATAAAGGAAAATGTGGTAATGTCTAAAGGCTTTTACGGCGTTCTTCCTCACCCCAGTAGCGTACTTAGAATGCAAAATTATGAGCAACCATAGGAATATTTCCTGTTGCAGTTGAATTTTTTTTAATGTTGGCACAGAAAATTTTTGAATCAGGCAAATTTTTCTCCATGTTGGTAATTATAAATATTTAAAATTGAATTCTTACAGAAAATACTCCGCAATATCCCAAAGAATAAGCTTTAAGTATTTTTCTTTATTTTTGTGCCAATGAAGGGCATGAAGTTGCAATCTCTCATTCAATAGTGAATCAAATGCAAAGTCACAGAAGCACGATTTAATTGTTTAACCTGATGGATCGGCAAAAAATGGCAAGATCTGTTCAAACGCCTAGATAAGTCTCTGCGCCCAATACTAACGGAGATTTCGCCTTTCATAAACCCTCAGATATTTATATTATCAGAACCAAGTTTTTTGAATTGAGAATCCTGAAGTGTCCGAAGTCTAGTTTAGTTTTATAGTTTTGAGTGTTTTTTTTTTTTTTTTTGTATTAATATTTCCTTAGGACTTTTCTCTGTGAAGTATTACTTATATTTTAGTCTTGAGTTCTTCAGCACTAAAGTCAATGATTCCTTTGTCCAAGGACTATCACAAATAGTGGAGTAAGAAGAGGAAAAATTTCTGTCAGCGTAGACAATCCAAAATTATTACTAGTTTCCTTTATCTTTATTCCATTTGTTTTTTTGTTGCAGCTTTTTTAAAACCCGTGAAGTCGATGGAAACTTAAAGGAAATAAATCAGTAGAACCCTGAGAGAATCCTGTTTGACCTGTGATCAAAGATTGTAAATATTAGTTTCAATTATATCTATACACGGAAAAAAAAAGAATTGCTGATTCAGCAATACAATTGCTCAAAACAGTGAGTGCAATGTTTCAACGCAGATTTTACAACAAAAAAATGCTACTTTAACCACATTGTAAACTAATTCAACCACGGGAGTGGTTAAAGTAGCATTTTTTTGTTGTAAAATCTGCGTTGAAACACTGCACTCACTGTTTGTAGCAATTGAATTGCTGAACCAGCAATTATTTTTTTTTCCGTGAACTGCCCTATTTATTTTACTTATAAGGTTTTTTGTCATCGAGTCCTAGATATATTGTTTTTACCAGAAAAATTTCTTCTTGGACTGTTGGCAAGGATAATCAATTTTATTTGATCTCTGTGCTTTGTGATCGGCTTTTTTGGTTTTTAAAAGAGGAATCTGAATGAGAAAGATTTTGTAAATAACAAGCCTGGCACACTGCTGTACCAAAAAAAAGTGATGAACGTTTGGACGTTTCCAAATTTCCTCTGATGAAATGCACATTTTCTAGGGAACATGATCATATTTTTTTTCTTGAAATTTTCAAAAAAATGTATTCATCATCCAATCTAGGGAATCTGAAAATTACCAAAGGAAAAATATTCAAAAATGTCCTCTAAACTACATGATATTCCTAGGAAAATGTGGCAAGATGCAAATATTCGGCTTTTCCCTCTATCACAGCATTATAGCCTTAATTTATATTTTTGCAATATTAACAATACTTAGTTTTCCATGCGTATTATTAGATTGAAATATTTCTGAAAGGGGTAAATCTTTAGAAAATTTCTTTTCAAATAACTAGGCTGCGTTTTGCAAAGAAGAACGAAAAGCTCCATAATGCTGAAAAGATTTTTGAGCTTCTTGCACTTCGTTAAAAACATTTGAAAAGATGAACAGCTGCTATTTGCACATGAAGACTGAATGTAATCAGATTTGAAAATTACAGTGTTTGTTTTTTGGTCTTTTTACATTTGTATTTTCATTATTTTACTGCACCTGAAAAGGTTGCAGAATCCTAGCAACATTACAGGGCTCTTGATTCCTTTTTGCCACTTTTGAGTCAGTAGTACTCAGCGGTGACTATTTTGACTTTTCACAACTTGAGTCTGTTTATTAATAGGCTTTTAAAGGGAAAAACCAAAGAAAACAAACCCAGAAAAATTCAGTTCTGATCTCAGATTGACTGAAATGAATGTAATGATCAATGGCGATCCCGATAATCATCTATAACTAATAAAACGTGCTTATTCTGCAGGCCTTCCTTAAAATTGGCAGGAGGATATGGAGCAAGTTAACAGAGATGCACCAAGTTTTTTTGGAAACAAGAGGTTTGTTCGTTAAATTCGTTTAGCAGAATATCAAGGAATTTCTTTTGAGAAAAACATTGTATTTCAAAATGTTTGATGTTAATTTACTGCGGCATGTTTATTTGGTTAAGTCTGAGCAATGAAATGAAGTTTTCTGCAAGAGGTATTTTTTTATCAGTGTTTTTAGTGGCATGGCTCTGTAGTTAATTCTTCTGTAGATTCATCGAAGTCTGCAACTGATTATGAATTAAGTGAGAGAGAAACCAAGTCCATCGCTCTTATGTAGAATTTTGCTTATCAGCTAGTGAGCATACTCCCTGTTTTCAAAAAGGCTTGATATGTTTCCATTAATTCAGTCCATGTTGAGGTATAGGGTATTTCTCCACCTTAGAGAAAATTATTCTTGAAAATGGTCCGTATACACAAAGGGGAAAATGCTTTTTCTCCCGCCATTACCTGGCTCAGTGCTTTTTTTTCCACCTTTTTCTTTGACTCACACCCCTGATTTTAATCAATGTATGAATGACTGTATTATATATGGGATTTTTTCATGTGCTTACTTGCTTATTTTTTATCAGGCTCTCAAAATTTTTGTTGATCAGCCTCATTTTAATATGATGATAAAATGTTTTGACTAAGGTCGTACCAAGTAAATAATTTTAAATAGGGCATATCAATGGCCAAAGCGCAATACCACTTATCTCCAATGCCATGTCTTAAAATTCCCGTACCTATTTCATTTTGTTTGAAGAGAAGCAAGGATATTTTAAAGCTTGAAATTTATGGAGAAAATCTTCCTAACATAGAAGAAAAACCAAGGAGGTTTTCATGGAATTACGGTTGCAAAGAAAAAATAAAGTATGAGTGGAGGTTTGCAATGTCGCAAAAGGAGATACGAGGTTTTGCACCAGGCCATTGATTTTTATTATCATTTGTACAGTCAGGATTCGGTCTAAAAATTGTACAATCATAACGAAGTTTAGTAAATTGTATAATTCTTGTTACACTTCCTATTTTGTACATCTTGTTGGTTTTTATATTGTGTTTTTAATGTTTGTCTTTCAATAATTCTAACTTTTTTAATTTTGGATTCGAAATTTTTTTTTCCTCATCTTTAGGTTAATGATCAAACTAAAAATAATTCAATAAAAATGATCAACGATAAGCTTTAAAATTACGGACAGAATGTGAAAAGGAAAACAAATCGCATAAAAAAAGGAAGAATTGAAATTTATTCTTGTCTTTTTCTGCTAGATAAACAGATCCGGAACTTCCCTCAAATAGTGTATATAACATGTGTAATAGCACCTTTGGGGAAAGGAAAGTTTGAATGAGTCAGTGGTGTCTAAAATTCATTTTCCCTAAGTACTGAGCGTTTAAATAATTTTTTCGAATTTTTGTACTTGAAATGACTGAAAAATCAATTTTGAAGTCGCCTAAATCTGGACCCATTTGAAATTATGTTTTTGGCAGTCTGATATGACATAGGCAGGTGAGGAAGTCCGCTTTTGCCGATTGGCTAAAACTCAGTCAAAGCTGTGGCCTAGTTCCGCCATCACGACTGTCGACCTCTCATTTGTCAGATTTTAATCAACTTTTTCTCCTCTAGAAGTTCTTTTAAAACTTGTCAATGGGCTTTTTTGGTTTTTTTTTTATGATACTCTGCAGAAATGTAATGCCACTGACCCATTTTTTAAGCCAAGTGTTCGCTTCTCTGTGTCTTTCAGTTCACACTTATTACTTTTCCATCATACATACCCACATGTGTCAAATCCAGTATTAAACACAACATCCATTAACATCCGGTATGGTAAATTCCATGTTGGAAAGGTATTTTTCAATTAGCTACTTTTCCTTTGATGAATTTATCAGTATCGTGTATCTGAGAAAGAAATTTCAGTACAACTGACCAGTAATTTATAGAATACGTGAATCCATTTTCATAGTCAGTTTAGTTTTATCAGAGATTGTAAATTGAAACTGACTGATCTTGAAGTGAATTCTTTACCCTAATTTTGTGCTCTTGGGTTGATGCTTGTAAAATTGATTGCATGAAATTATCCTAATGGTGGGAACCTAATTTGTACCCTCTCGTTAGAACTACGTTTTTGATATTTTTCCTCGAGCTTCCTTGAAAAATAATAGTTTTTGAGTTTAAAATTTTTGAATTATCGAAAGACAACTGTACTTATTAATGTATATCTCTAATACCTGTGCACATTTTGTTCAAATTTGAAAATCTTCTTCCAATAAATGACTAAAAATACGAAAAAACAGAAGTTCAATGTTTTACTTGTTTCATTTATATTTTCAAAAGATGGTCCAACCGCAATCATCCAACGCTTATACTCGTCAAATTCAGCCAGACGATCTATCCTAACCCGCACAGAATTGGGGACATCATCAGTCCTCTCTCGAAATCTTTGTGTAAGTGTTACGCTTCATTGGCAGAATTTCCTAGACCGCAAACTGAGGGATTTTTCTTTGCCCCGTCCGCGGATTGGCCATCCTCTTTGCCCAGTACGATTACTGGCCGATGGTTTTGCCAATACCATCTACCCATCTAAGTAGGAATTGGTTTTGCCCAGTCTGTGAACAAGGCAACCAGTTAGCGGACTGGCCGGTCTAAAGTCTGAAAATTACGCCGATCGTTAAATTTAGCCGCAATCCATACGCTAACCGACGAATATCCCCCTCTAACCAAACCGATTTCTGACGTATATTGCAAAAGTATCAAAATAAAAACCAATACCATTTATTTTACAGGTTGCGTGAATCAGGTTTGCAATTAATTTTTATCAAATTCATTTGATGAGTTTTCAATAAAAATTTACGAGTTTACTCTACAAACCTGGTATCTACTCGTAAGTTAACATAACTGATCAATAGAAATTCGTTTCATCCAGACAGAGATGGATGAAACAAACAGAAAAAGAATGATTCTCGGCGGAAATATCCATCAATTTTTTTTTTTACACACAGTTTTTTAGAAGTTTCGAAATTTCCGGAGTGATCGAAAATAAAATCACAACAAATTTCGACGCGATCTCTTCGTTCGTTTTTTTTTCTTTTTAGTAAACCGAAATTAATTTTATGCGATTCAGGTTTCAGAATCACTGCATCGTTTAAACATCGTCTGAGTTTCTGAATTTTTGCAATTGGACGGATTGGACCGCGTTTAAGAGAAAGGAACCAATCCACATCAGCTATTGCCAAATTTAACCGGGCAATTTAATTTTTTACGAGAGAAAGTCTGTGTGGATTTCTTTGAAAATTTCAAGGAATTAGCTTCGTACTATGAAGAAAATTCACCAAAATTTGCACGAAAATCTGCACAACCGCTTTCGTGTAAAAAATTAAATTGCCAAATTAAAGAAGGCAACAGCTGATGTGGCTTGGTCCCATTTTTTCCCATACATATTTACCCTTTATTGGGATAAAAACCGGGCACAAGATATGCCGCATGGACCTAGTTCTGCGGCGGTTTTTGCATCGCGCAAACCAGAGAAGGGACTACGGTCGAGTGTGGATCTTCACAGTATGATGCGCCGTCAACCCAGCTAGCGGCAGTGTGCCTTAACCCGTAGTCGAATAGTTATGGCAAATAACTCTCGCATTGCGTTTGGTGCAATGCGAAAAGTTTCATGCGGTCATGTAGGCGCTAACATGCGTTTGACGCTGACCACACTGTTTGGCGCAATGCGTGAAGTATTTCTACAGTCTTGCAGGCGCTGATATGAGTTTGACGCGATTATTCGAACTCGCGTTAGGATAATCGCGGCATCATACAATGAGGCTTAAAAGGCCCATGCTGTGTTTCGACGCCGTATGAGCACTCTAGTCCGTTGACTACGCCAAAAAACCCTGCGCTGTTTGATTGGAATATGCCGCTTTCAGGGCTCATTGGTGGTACCCTCAGGAGTAATTCTCGAAGGGGCAACACTCCGAGACCCGCGACTGGAGCAAGATGGCGGCCGTTAAAGTCCGCCATTTTGGTTTTTTTCAAAGCGCTGTCCTTCGGTTGCTATTGATCCGATGTTGATCCTTTTTTTTTAAATGATAGGTAATTTCCAGGAGACAACGTTGTTCCTTATCAATTTTCCTGTTAGGCTTAGATTTGTTTTCTAAATTGGGAAAAACTAAAATTTTTCAAATTTTTGGAAATTTCAAGGTCAAATAACTTTTTGACAGGCTAGAAAATGGATATTTTGCCTCCTCTGACGGTGCCGTAGAATTACCTGACCTTTAATTTGATACCAAGACGATTTTTGTGAAAAATAAATAAGCGCGTGAGAGCAATTTAAGTGTTGCGCGCTTCGCGCCGTGGGACCCGTTTCGGCGCTCTAGACGGCCGACGCGACCCTTCAATGCGCTGTATCTCGGTTGCTGTGCAATCAATTTTAATACATTTTTTTCTTAAGCAGTTATACTCATGTAAAACTAGCTCCTTAAACAATTCTGGCGTTACCATGATATTTTTTCAAAATCTTCAAGAAAAACGAAAATTTTCACATTTTCGAAACTTTTGTGGTTAGATAACGCCTAATGGGCGAGTAAATATGAGTGTGTTTCGTCATTGAAAGTAGACGTAGGCTTGATTTAGGTTTAATTTGATACCAAAACCAAAGTGCGACGAAAAAAAAACCCACGAGAGCAATTTACTTTAGTGAAACGCGACGGTGCGCGTCACACGGCGCTTGATCCGTATGGGGTCGTTGGCGCCCTTCACTGCCGTGTAATTCAGGTGCTACTAGATCCGGTAAGATCATTTCGTTCTAAAAAGCTTGAAGAAACTGAAATCAAAGCTTTGCCTAATTGGACGGATCCGGGAAAGTACCCCTAAGTCGTTTAATTTGATGCCATCATCATCCCTGCGTGACGAAAATTAGAATTACCGTGACAGCAATTTCATCTCATTCATAAAGTTCAGCGCATTACTGTAGGGTATCACAGTGGAACAAAAAAATGACATAAGTAAGAAGTCATTTATTTCTCGAAAGAAAAATAAAATTTCTAAGGAAGTCTGCAACGTCGCAAATGGAGAAACGTCGTCTCTCATTTTGCCCAAAAATATGTATGTATAAAATTGTAGGCATTATGACTGGCCTCTCTCAACTTATATTCGTCTGTAACGATAAACACTGGGACGCACTTGCTACGGCGCCTTGATACAACTATACAACGTCGACGGATGTCCGTATTGCGTTCAAAAATTTGAAGGCGTTTTGACTTCCTACGCATAATACCTGTAGTTGATTCGATCGACAAACGCGTTGGTCGGCGGTGACGGGGACTCGATGCAACTTTTTAAACTTGATGGATGTCCGCATCGCACCGACTGAAGTGCGAAACCACGTATCTCCATTGCGGTGTTTCAAAATTTCCGCTCTTAATTCATCTCTTCCCTGAGAAACAATCCAAATTTACGACTTTATATTTTGAACCAAATCTTCTGCTATCGAATACGCAAAATCATGGAGAATTTAAGTTGCATATTGACCAGCTTCTCGAAAGAAAAATAAAATTTCTAAGGAAGTCTGCAACGTCGCAAATGGAGAAACGTCGTCTCTCATTTTGCCCAAAAATATGTACGATAAAATTGAAGGCATTATGACTGACCACTCTCAACTTATATTCGTCTGTAACGATAAACACTGGGATGCGCTTGCTACGGCGCCTTGATACAACTATACAATCTCGACGGATGTCCGTATTGCGTTCAAAAATTTGAAGGCGTTTTGACTTCCGACGCGTAATAGCTGTAGTTGATTCGATCGTTGGTCGGCGGTGACGGGGACTTGATGCAACTTTTTAAACTTGATGGATGTCCGTATCGCACCGACTGAAGTGCGAAACCACGTACCTCCATTGCGGTGTTTCAAAATTTCCGCTCTTAATTCTTCTCTTCCATGAGAAACAATCCAAATTTACGACTTTAAATTTTGAACCAAATCTTCTGCTATCGAATACGAAAAATCATGGAGAATTTAAGTTTTATGTTGACCAGCTTCTCGAAAGAAAAATACAATTTCTAAGGAAGTCTGCAACGTCGCAAATGGAGAAACGTCGTCTCTCATTTTGCCCAAAAATATGTACGATAAAATTGAAGGCATTATGACTGACCACTCTCAACTTATATTCGTCTGTAACGATAAACACTGGGATGCGCTTGCTACGGCGCCTTGATACAACTATACAACCTCGACGGATGTCCGTATTGCGTTCAAAAATTTGAAGGCGTTTTGAATTCCGACGCGTAATAGCTGTAGTTGATTCGATCGTTAGTCGACGGTGACGGGGACTTGATGCATTTTTTTAAACTTGATGGATGTCCGCATCGCACCATACATCACATATAATTTGTCAAAGATATCGAAAAATGTAGTTTCCTTTTCATGTTTTGCAAAATTTAAAAATTGTGACTTTACTCTGTTTTTGGGTGTTTGAGTGCGGGTTGCATACTCTAATCCCTGAAAAATATAAAATGTTTCACAGCCTCGTGAAATTCATGAAGAATTTCACTGAAATTTGCAATCTTTCATGAAACTTTTCCCTGAAATTTCCAATCTTTCATTTCTTTCTTACGTTTCATGCCACCCTGCTCTTACGTATTATGAAAACTTGTCATGCTTGGTGGACTTTCAGAGTTTGGAACAGAGAAGGGCTTTTTGGAACGTTGGAATATTTTCATGACTTAGCATGACAATTAAAAAAGGAAATATTTTCTCTCTAATGTAAAAAATGTCAACTTCCCCCGAATTAACGATCCTCTCCCTGCCCCTAACGATTTCCTTACCCTGAATAAACGATCATCAATAAAACCATCGATTTCACTGCCCTTAAATATAATAAAAAGCTAAGGCATTTGACTCACTGTGATGAATGATGGTTTTCCTGGTCCTTAATATTCGGCAAAATGCCAGGAAAAGGAGAAAAGAAAAGTCAAACCTTCACCCACGTTAATTGATACTTAAGTGCCAATGTTGTTTTGATGCTGAACTCAACACTTCGCGACTAGTTTGAAGTACGGTACCTCCCTAACGAAAAAGCAGCTCATACAATCATTATGTTGGATGGCTCATTTCATTAATGACGTAAAAATTATTGAGTTGAATCGAACTTGTCGATTTAAATGATAAGACCACCTCAAACTGCGTAATTTTGAATTATTCCAAGCGTTTGCAATGCATTTTATTCACGCGGGCTATTACGAAAGTATTACAATCCGTCCTTAGCCTGCTTTTGAACGGTCACTCTGAATGTCTATTTACTCTTTTTTTTTTTGCAAAGTAAGACTAGAGTGAACTGATAAAAGGCATACATTTAATAAAACCCTTTACCGCCAAAAGGGCGCAAGGTATACCAATTTGTAGCCAAAAGGACTTGAGAGACCTTCTTTGCCGAGAGCACATACAGTGCCGGATCAATGAATTTGTTCACGTGGTGTGAGCTTAATTTGAGCATTTCGTAATTCGTATGAAAGAATTGTTGCATATGCGGGAAAATTGAAGGCGAACTTTAGACAAACTACACTTACCGATGGGTTAGCAACGTCGTCTATCACATCGTTGAATCAAAGCTTATCGAGCGACATAAATCGATTGTGAAATTGCAGACACGCGTACCTCGTTGCAGACCTCCTGTCACATTTATTTTCCATATCGACGGTGAAACTACCAAACCACGTATCTCGGTTTGCGACGTCGCAGACTTCCTGTCATACTTTATTTTTTAAATGAAAAACTACTTAACGTCCGGTCTTGAAAATTTCTGTGATTTTTCCTCTTCGTGCGGAGAAAATTCTGTGAAAATTTCAAGGAATGATATTGATTTGGTCTACCTCAAAAAAATAAAATGCGAGCGTAGATTTTTAAACACCGCAAACGAGATACGTGGTTTGGTAGTTTCACCGTCGATATGTAAAACCACTCAATGTCATCTCCTGAAAATTTCTACGGATTTTCGTTTCTCACATTGAAGAATATTTTGTGAAAAATTCCAGCCATGGTGTGGGCTCGGTCTCTTTTGAAAATATAAAATAGGGGCGGAGATTTTGCAACGCAGCGTAACCGAGATACGCATTATTGCAATTTCATCATCGAAATGTGTCTTTTTCGAACAGATTACTATTCGTGCTCTCCGGTGCGGTTTGTTTGTTTTCAATGATTATAGTGGCGAAGCGTGAATGATTGATTGTCGATATTTCTCCACATGAAGCCATGGTAAAGAATCGATTCTAGAGGTGCTCGTTGCGAACACCCTGTCTACCGATCTTTTTCCATAGGTTTAAATGGCAGATCAATCGATTGATCGCAAAGCACACCACGCCACTGACTCAATTGTGGCGGAATTGAAGACGAATGTCCCGGACACTTAGAGTTGCATTTTTTCTCTACTCATTTTCCACACATTTTTTCCATCTTTTCATTTTAGGGCCCTTGATATTATGATTGCCTGGTGCAGCCGCTTCATGCTTACCTTTAATCTGATCCTACCTAGTTACACACATCAATTCTAAGCGAATAGTGGTTCAACAAGAGGAATAAGGTATAAATAAAAAGAAAATGCACCTAAGCTAAAAAAAAATCTTTTTTTTTTTATTTTTTAAATTTAAAGAGAGAACATACAAATTGTAACAAAAAACAGGGAAACATAACAGAACTTAATTTCTATACATATACCTATGTGACTTATTTTTGTCAGATATTGAGTTGGCTTAGGGAAGAATAACAGAAATTTTAAGTACAGTTTTGAAAATAAAGTTGGCTTTAATCCTAAACTGCTTAGTAATTTAGTAAAATGAATTGAACTTGTATTAACATTGAGCATGCATTAAAGGCAGGTATCTGCCTCTTTTTTGAACAAATTTTATTGAAGTGAATCATGCCTCTTTCCATCGCACTTTTTATTGAAGAAAGACAAAAATTTGACACAAAAAAATTCACCTCCTGTCTGTTTTTAATCTAGTCGATCTTCGATTCAATGCAACTCGACCATCTTTGTAAATTCCCAGAAACCATGGCGTTTGCCTATAACTATATATTACTTGTGTCAATAGTTTTAATGAACCGTAGGCGTAGAACTCTTTGTCGCTGAAGAAAAGTTTTTTTCTTCCCTTTTGTTTTCAGGTGAACATGAAAACCCTCTGATTATGGAAAAGAGAGGTTTGATGTGGATCAAATGCGGCTTGCACGTTATTTTTACTTTTCACTTGGACTCACAAAATTTCCAAAAATCCGACCGTAGCATTATACTATTCAGACTTATAAGTACTTTCAAATTATGGATCTGCGGTCTGACGTGTAAAGATTTCTAAAATAGCTCTTAATTTGACCCAACAGTTTCATGATTGAGAATGAATATAGGTATAAACCGCAAGTTTTAGCTCCACTCAGAGGTCTCAAAATGATGATCGTCCAAAGTTATCACTGAAATATTTGCGTCATTTGCTCAAATTTATTTTTGACCAAGAATATTTCGGTAGAATTTATAAGACACGACTAAAACCTAGCATTGAAAAAATTAAAATTGAATGGAACGGAGAAAGAAACACTGAAGTTTTTTTAGTTAGGTACTGAAGCAACATTATCCACCGGGAATATCTTATCTTATAGATGGTTGAATTGATCAGGGGAAAAGTGGGGGGGGGGGGTATTCAGCTTGACAATTTAAGGAAAACTTGTGCAAATAATGTAATTATCACAAGGTGATTGCTGCCTGATAAAAAATGGAACTTTACAAATAACAATAACGGCCATGAATACTGATGACACCAAACTATAGTTGGGTGATAAAGGAATTATTCCTGGTTAATATGAAATAACTTTTCTTTTAAGAAAATCTACCTAATTACTATTTACAGCATTTTCAATACAAAATGGGACTCCTAGTATTTAATTCTTACTACCGCTAATTTTTGACGAAATAATGACCCGACTCAAATACCTATGAAAAGAGATGATCAAAAAAAAAAAACAAAACAAAACAAAGTAATGAACGAATTTCCTGGAGAAATTTAAAAATTGATTCATAAAATTGACAAATGTTAGTTTAAGTTAATGATTATTTCACTTTAAACTCCTTAATTAATTGAGAAAAATTTGATACTAAGCCATTTCAAATCAGATTTTGAGTATTTTACGAATTAGTAATGTCTATTAAACAAATCAGTTGCCGAAAATCATATTTTTATAAAAAAAAAAATAATTTCGGTCCTGCAGTGTTTTCAAATCATCAAGATCTTCAAGCACTTTAAATGTTTCGTTTTCTAGTATATTTTGCGTCTTGCCGTATTCGGAAATTGCATTCCTCAGGGAAGATCAAGTGCAGATTTTATGCTAATACGTGCTGAAGAAGATCTACTTAACGGTAGGTTGTTTCGCACTCAACCTGTTTGGATATAATTAAAAAGAATGTTATTTTTGTCTGATATCATACTTTTTGATTTGTTCGTAGAACGGACTAAAGAAGTTTCCTCATTATGCAGAGGCAACCAAAATAACATGTCTTTAAAATAGAAATTTTTTATTCACCATCGACAGAAAACCATTCCAAAAAGGGCACATGGGATGTCGAAAATGTTTTATTCCAAACAGAATTTTTGTTCGTTTTTATACTCCCATAAAAAAATTATGACCACAGAAGTATTTTAAAAGTATTTTTGGCACTGTTTTTTCCAGATATGTTTAAATCTATTTGAGTACCATCCAGGTAAGTACTCATTTGATTAAAAAAAATAACTCTGATCGAATCAGATCCTGTGACAGGATCTGATTCGATCAGAGTCATTTCCTGTCTAAGTGCCCACTACTATCAGACACACAGAAATGTAAATGTTGGAGAGGTCGGTCTCCATGTTAAACTTTAAGATGAAGCACACTTACATAGATAATGAATTTTATCACAATAAATCACCAGAAATCAATTATAAATATCATACTCTACAATTTTACATCATGAAGACTTAATTCTTCAACCTCAATTTTTTCTCCGGTCATTTAGGGATGGGACGATACATTATTCGAGCTTAGGAATAATGAGGCTCCCGTAAATCATTAAAGTGCGTCGTCAAACCAAACTTATCCGATACTGTTCGATGACTCTGTGTACTAGACGCAACACAACGGTCCAATCGGCCTCCTAAGATTGTTATTATTGAGCGCTTGATGGAAACGCTGAGCGAGGCATCACGTTTCGATGAAAATGATACCACTATTCGCGCCTCTAGGTGACCGCCCGTGGTATCCTCTCTAATTGAAGGCGAAATGTATGCTTTAACAAGGTGATGGGGAGGAGGGGGGTTCAACAACCCCAGGCATGCTGTAACTTCTGAGCAAACGTGAGGAGGAGACCTGAAATTTTGTGACTGAGCCTAGGTCAAGGGAAACGAATTTTTCGACCCACAAAAATTTTTAAGGTATCATCCCAAAAAGGGTCAAGAACAAACACAAATTTTATCGGGTAGTTCAAACGAAGTTCAACAACGCTGGCTATTCGGCATCGGGTAAGTCCGTTTTCAAACGATCACAAACAGTGTGGTTTAAGAATGCACCTTATATTTGAAAAATCCTGATGGAACAGTATGATTCCAACAGCATCAGATTTTCCGAATTTTGCGCAAAAAAATTAATTATTTTACGATTTTAATTAATACCTAGTGAATTTGTTACGAATCACACCCTATAATATTTAATCATAAGGACGACGCGTACCGCCTAAAACTTGATACGCTTCGTGGGGTTAGACCGCGAGGCGGTCAGAAAGCGCACCCCCTAGTATTTGTTAAAAATTGTAAACATCAGATAGTCATTTGCGTACAGGAGGCGCGCTAAGCAGAGCATGCACCTTGCACAATGTTTTCTCTTAGTTCTCGAACATTCAAATGATCGAATAAATCAGGATCGAAGGATGATCTCAATCAGTCAATTATTTTAATTACAAACTTCGTTCCTCTTCACTTTGATATTGTATCAGACGACTCTCTTAAAGGACGACATTGAACCCTCTGTTCCTTGTAATTTTACATTCATTTACTGAATCAGTGGTGAACTCTGACTATCACTGAAATCCATCGCGTAGTACATATCTGTGTAATCAACAGGGGCCATTACTCTCCTTGTGGCAAGTGGTTCTTTATCTGAACTTTTCACGGCTCCACTGAAACATAAAACATGTATCTTAAAAGAAGCATCTTAGTGGTTTGTAGGGTGGCACTGGAGCTGTGGAGTGGAACAGTTTGCGCTAGTCACAGAATTGTGTTTTGATGATTTAAGCTTTTAGATTATCAGAAAGCATCATGATCTGTTTCAACGCTAATTTTCATTGTCCAATATTAACGGAGATGTCGCTCATTGGGGAACACGCCGTATACGATGTCATCCACAGCGAGATTGCAGACCATGCTCTCCTTCACTATGGTTTCATCAATTAGGGATACACACATCTGCACCGGTTGCTTAACGTAAAACGTGAATCAAACCAGGGTGGAAGAAACTATGGTATGCACGACCGCAGTAGATGACGTCATATGCCATGTTATTCGACGGGCGATATCTTCGTTAATATTCGACGGATGAACTTGGCGTTTGAACAGAACTTATTCGATTTTACTAATCTAAACCAACGGAGCATGATTCTGTGACTACCTAGCGGAACTGACTCATTGACAGCATGTTCGCACACTTTAATCTTACACTTAATCATCACAAAACACAAATAATTGAAGTACATACCTTCCTACGTATAATTAATATGTCATCCAACGATTAGGGAGAAAATTCAAAATCTGCCATTTGTGAAACATTTTAAATATTTACTTAGGTACTGCAGATTCTGAGTTTAGTAATTTCATAATACTAGAATTTGAAGAGAACAAAAATACTCTTAAACTTTGAATCATAACTGAATTCGTTTAGAACAATGTAAAGCTTTTTAAAAATTATCAAGGAATTATCTTTTTTTTTTTTAAAAAAAAAGTAAGTATCCATACCTTTTGGCTTTTAAGTCAGCGTCCTTCCTATTCCCTCTGCAGCCAAACAAAGGTGTCGCTCGGATTATTCGTTTATAGGTTTCGTGCATTCGGCAGTGGCAGGTTGCGACCTGTAAAAAGAGGGGAAAAAACTTAATTAAAAAGTCTCCAAAAGTGAATACGAATCCGTTTCATTCAGGTAAAATTACTGCAGGACAATAATTATCTAGGCGAAGTGTCATTGTGTCACCACATGTTTCGGGGGAATGCACTACTGCACCTTTTTTCATTTGATAAATTTCAAAGTAATATCATGATGAAAGTAGGAAATTAAAATCTTGATCGAGACAAGAAGTGGGAGATGAAACCAAGAGATGAGACAAGCTAGGCATTTTCCTTCCGTAAGTTTTCTTTTTCATTTTTCATTTTGTCGGGAAACAGTCAATGCTATACTGCCGTGTTAGGGAAGAAACCTTTAGGCGTTGCCAAACTTCCTTCGATGAAACACGAATTTTCGGCGAAGATTGTAAATGATTTTTCTCAAATTTTTCAGATCATTTCGTTCGCAATTTCACTCAAAGTTCTTGAGAATTTCTCCAAAGAATATCCATAACTTTCCTAAAAAATAAACATTTTATCGAGGGAAAGGCAACTCTCGAGTGTTCATACGGCGTTCTTCCTTAGCACGGCAGTATAAAGGCGAGGTCTCTGTTCGCGTGTATGGTCACGATCTTGATCGTGTGATTAAGAATTTTCTGCACTTCTGCAGAATGGACCACAAGACAAGGTACGAATTTCAGCATTCTGATACATGTTTCTTTATCAAAATTGCACGTAGAACACGATACGCACAACGAAAATTACCGAAATCAACTCCTGACGAAGATATTTAATGATTCTTGATGCGTGAATTCAAACCACCCGCTCATGAAAACTCAATGTTCTACGTGATTCACATCGCGCGCTAAATGTTTATCATGACAGTCTCTGCGATGTAAAAATCCTCAACTTCAATCTTGACTATTTGGCTCAGCTATAGCAAATTACTAATAGTTTGAACAACACATGGTGGAAAATGAACATTGCTCGATTGAGGAGCTTGCTGAAACCGTTGTAGTGCGCAATTTGACTAACGTAGAGCTTTGAGTTTCTTGTGAGCGGGCAGTTCAAATTCCTCGTGACCAATGTGAAATAAAAACGTTAATATCTTCGTTAGGAGTTGGTTTTAGTAGTTTTCGTTGTGTAAATCGTGTTCTACGTGAAATTCTGATTAAGAAACATGTATCAGATTGCTTAAATTCGTACCTTGTCTAGTGGTCCATTGGACCTTTCAGTGGTCATACCCTGTCTATAAAGACACTCAATTTGCAAATAAAACGGCTAAAGAGAGAGAGAACGGGGATAGGGAGATATGATGTCATAGCTGTAGATTAAGTGAAGTGTGGGCTCCGGGCGCGAGTGGACGTTGCGCGCTGCGATTGGCGGAGTATGATGTTCTGTGTGACTTACGGTAAGTGTGACTTACGGTAAGTATAACTATAAGGAGGGCGCAGGCGAGAGTTCCTGCTGCTACGTACAAATGCTCGACGTGAGTGACTCCGGACGGCATCTCATACACCCACTCCTTCTTGTGCAGCAGCTTCGCAGTCTTGTCTCCTTCCGTCTCCTCCGACGCTATCTTGTCTGGAACGAGCAAACGCAAATCATTTCACTCGAGGGCTTTTCAACTATACTAGAGCTCATCAACAGTACAAGCAGCCTATTTACATCCAGAGTTTTTTTTTTTATTTTTTTATTTTATTTTATTTTGCCTTATAATGGGGCTTTGGCCTCAGTGCATCGGCACATCCATTGGAGACGGCCGTTTCTGCGACCCTAAAACCCTACCAAGGTGGAACAGAACGGTGAGTTTCCGCACATTCGGGTGCGGTTTCAGGACATTCCGTCAACGAGTTTTTGTCCGCGCACCTGTTTTGTCCAGTCGTTAACGTTCACGCGTAAAATAAGCAACGGTGACTTGGTCCAAGCGTTATATTTTAGTCCGTACGTACAATTATATTGATAATGTCGAAATGAGAAAATTGAGAGAGAATGAGATGTTTGTTATGGTGACTCATTTTTTAAATGAAATTTTACTTTCTTCTCTTGATTCATCTTTTCAAACTGTCATTGGACAATATTTGGTTATATTTCTACCCTTAAAATTTTCGATATAAAATATACCTCTTTAAAAAAAAAAAAAAAAAAAAAAAATGAAAATATTAATTCATCTGAAAAAAGTTTACATTTTAAAGCGTGGTAAATATTTGTAAAACCTTTTCCAAGCAATGACATCGATATTAATCTCAATGAGCCGTAGGTGTAGGTGTGTCGAAAGAAACTGTGCAAAAATGAAAAAAGAGGGAAAAAACTAAGAAGCACGCAATCTTTGGTTTTGACCCATTTGTACATTGATCTTTCATAGTCAAATACGTAATTTTGAGCGTTCTGTTGCGCGTACACCACATAGTATAGCACAGTGAAAGCACAAAATATAAAAAAAAAATTAAAAAGCTTTAGAAATCATTAAATTTGACACGGAACCACCTTAATATTAACAGAACCACATTATATATTCCCTTTAATACATCTTTTTTTTCATCAATTTAAATGAGAATAATCCATGCAGAGTGTGCAAACATGTCAAAAGCATGAGTTGAAAAGCGTTGTTTCCACGAGTTTGAATATTAGAGCCTAACTCAGAGCGGAGCGGCGCACTGTTGTCGCGAAACGCGCGTTGGCGCCTACAAACCCAACAGGGATACTTCACGCATTGCGTCATGCTTGAAGTATCCCCTTAGGTTTGTAGGCGCCAATGCGCGTTCCGCGCTAACATTCCCTCCGCGGCGCCCCAAGCGACTATTTCTCAACAGAGGTGTTGCACAGAATCATACGGAATTGAGGGCGCTCCAACATATTAAGAATGACAGGCATCCTTTAGGATTACGGAGCTTTCTGGCACAAAAAGAGAGCGGTAGCCCAAAAACACACTAAGTCCTAGCGTCTACTTTTAATGACGTTTAGTATAATTTATGAATTTCATTAGAGAAAAGAGTGACTCGATTCAGGCAGAAACATTCTTGAGTATACCGTCAAGCAGAAGAGTTTATTTTGAATCAAGAGTAAACTAGAGGAACGAAAGCGGGGTTCTGCTTTCTCTTTTTATAAAAGCATATTTTCCTTTTTAAACAAGCATTATTTTCTTTATTGGTTCATAAGGAAATTTTCTTGGTGGTAAATTTGAGCATATTTCTGATCGAATCAAGTCACCTCATTTTGTCGTCGTTACTCGATTCAATTTGCGAGGGAACTTCATGCTTTTGAAAGACGCCATCCTTCATGATACGATGGGGTGCCTCTAATCTCGTATGATACTGTGCAACACCTCTGTGGCGAAATGGTAGCTCGCAGCACCGCAGCACGCCGGCACCGTCATGAAGTTACCGTACGCAGGAAGAATCTAAAAGCCTTTAGCTGAGGCAAAGCAAAGGGTTTATCCGCTTCAGGTATAACAAGAAAGGATTTTCTTGAAAAATAATCAAGTCCTGTTGCATTAAAGAGGTGCAGAGAGTCTTAAAGAATTTTTCCCTCGTGAAATTGACGCTCCCCATTTTCACCAAAAATCTCAATTATATATTTTTCTCAGTTGGACCAAACAAATAATAAAAAAAACAAATATCAAGCAAACCTTCATTCTTCCAAGACTTTATACATTTTCATATTAAGGCGTCGTGGGCAATTGTCGTATGTATTTACATGGGGACCAAGTAACTTTGGGTCTCAATTTGGTAAGTGGGCCAAAACTCCCCTCCCGAAAAAACGCGTGGACATAAACCACTTGAAAAAACAGGTGCGCGGACAAAAAATCGTTGACGAAATGTCCTATAACCTCGGGTGCATTTAGTTTACATAATCTAAAGGTTCCAAGAAAAGGAGCTACTCAGAAATAATCAACTGAAAGAGTTGTCTTGTTCTGTCGGTCTAATATTTGAATAAATTTAATAAAAGATCAATATTTTTGGAGATTAAAGTCTCGATGTTTATTCATTTTAATATGGATTCCTTTTATCAGAAGCGGTAGAAATTATTGCTTTTTACAAGAGATTCCGGAATTTCAAAAATAAAAATAGCGCCTTCAGCGTTCACTGCAACATCTTGATACAACTATTCGTGTTTGTTAGCTGTCTATGTTGCATAAGCAAACATTTGAAGGCGCTTGGATTTTCTTTGTGCTCCCAATAATGCAGTTTAATATGTCGCGTCGCCCAGTCGACGCGGCGCATGGCTCTGATTACCCCAACGACTTCGTCAAATACTTTTCTTCAACTAATGTTTTCAGGATGTTCCTGAGGGAAGGAGAAACTTACCTGTGCAAGTTTTGCCCGTGTACTCCGGTTTGCAGGCACAGTAGTAGGAATCGATACTGCTCCAACATGTTCCTCCGTTTCTACAAGGGTTTGTGTTACACACCTATAAAAAAGAAATAAAACAAAAAATCAGTCAACATTTCTGCATAAAGTATGTGTTTAATATCTGTGATTTCAAAACCTTCCGCATTGGCAGGTTTGACGGTGATTTACTTCCCCGAAACAATTGAAGCAAGATTTTTGATACTGGTCAAGATCATGTTTCAAACTTCAGTTAGAGCTAAAGCAAGAGTTGTTATTAGGAAAAAGTTACCAAAAAATTACGTTGAGCACTTTGGTAAAGTTTAAAATTGACTCCTAACCATACAATTTGCGCGTTTTTTTAGCTTCTCGCTTCAAATAGTAGGTATACTACGACAAATTCGTAAATTGATACGGATACGTCAACCTAAATTTATAATTTAGAACGAAACAAAAAATGGCCGCCGTCGTTTGGCACAATTTCTTTCATTAACACACACGAAGAAAGTAGAACAGTAGTAGCACACCCACAGAAAGTAGCACATACAGTAGTACAGAATCTGAGTGATTTTTTTTTACTGTGTAGTTCCTAGTTGCAAAATGCGGTCCAAATTACGTAACGCACTTTTTCGACAAGTTTAAACCTCCCACCCCGTTGTAACGCTCCGCAACGCAATCTCAGACCCCCCTTGTAATTAAGTAACGCTTAAGGGGCCCCCTCCCTTTAAGTTCCCCAAAATTTTAGACACGGAAAGAAATTAAATGTTGATTTAGCATTTATACTGTTAAAAAGGTGTCCGACAAGTTTCAGATGCTGATTTTACATTTTAACAAATGCTAACGTAACTACGCCCACTGCAAAACGTGCAAATTAAAATGTTATATTAGCATTTTTGTATTGTAAAATCAGCATTTGAAACTTGTCGAACATCTTTTTAACAGTATAAATGCTAAACCAACATTTAATTTTTTTCCGTGAACCGTTGCAGACACAGTTGCATAAAATTTGAAGTAATTTCAATGATAGTGTGACAAATAAAGTCGCAGAAATGAGGATGAAACATTTGGGGTGTTACGTGTTTCTGCCAATGTAGAGAGTTACGTAACGCTGGGAGTGACCCCTTCTCCCCCTCCCCTTCGTAATGCAAGCTCATTACCTCCACCCTGGAGCGTTTCGAAATTTATGAACGCTTCCTTTGAGCCTTGAGCGCGACCTGCGCGGCGCGGGGGTAATAATGGGATCGACTCGCGTGATTCGAAATTAGCATGTCTTTGTCATGCCTACTCGTAAGCCTCCATACCAATTTGAGGAGACTCACCGGCGCCGCCGCGCCGCACAATGGAACGGACCAATCGGAGAGATTGGACACGAAAATTTCAACAAAAACTGCTAATATTGATGTTAATTTCGTTACAATTCGAATTGTATGGGGTGCTTAAAGGAAATTTTACGAGGTAACCTATGAATACTCTTCTAGAACCTCCACATTCCATATTAACATAGATGGGCTATTTAAGTTTCCACGCTTAGTCCGACATTTCCCGTTGACCCTTTCCACTGTGCGCCGGGGCTATTATTTTCTCGCATCCCCATCCCATTAGCCATTACAATCGGCGATGCCTCGGGCGCCGCGGTTTCAGCTGATCATAACTTAATTTGTGACGTGAGGTCACGGGTCGCCACCTCCGCGCTTTCATTGCAATTTCGAATTTGCTCCAAGACGGAGCCTCGGTGAACGCGCTCTATCGTACGTAAGTCTACTCCTGAGCATTGAGGACTCGACTGCCGTGCTATGGAAAAACCTCGTATGAGCCTTCAGTCGTTGCCGAATTTCCTCTGATTAAATACGACTTTTCAGGAAAAATCGTGAATATTTTCCGATCAATTTTTCAGAAGATTTTTTAAATAATTGGATCTAAATTTTCTAAAAATTTCAGGAGAAGATATTTATAAATCTCCTGAAAAATAAAAATTTTATCGGAGGAAATTCGGCAACTCTCTAATGTTCATACGGCGTTTTTCCTTACCAAAGCAGTAGAGTGTAAGTATGTTGGGAGAGTATGGGCGAATCTTTGGCATCGAATATGTTATGAATTTTGTATGAAAATGAAATTTCCAGGCGTCCGGAAAATTCGAGAATCGTGAATTACCGTTTTAGTCATCGGTATTGAGCAAAGAGGTCCGATGTATCCTTTGGGACATTCACAGCTGTAGCTGTTGCCTTTATCAATGCAATAGTGGTGTTGTGAGCAGGGGTTCGGATCGCAGAGGTTCACCTACGAGAGAGAAAAAAAATGTATCATTAAATTATTGTCATAAAGGAATCGGAACACTCAAAATGTGGCCCGAATACTGTTAGTAAAGTCAAAATGGTAGAACAGTTGTGGATTCCCGCTATTCTGCGGGTAAGCGGTTCCGGCGTGTTGCACCAAAATTCAAATTAAGAGGTGGATTAGTTTTAGCCGGTCGGCTCCTCTTTTCACCCATCCTGCATGATCAGTGGCGTGGCGTGCAGGATCGATTATCGATATTTCTCCATTTGAAGCTGTAGTAAAGAATCGATTTTCAAAGGCGTTCGTTACGAACACCTTGATATCGATCCTATTCCATAGATGTAAATAACAGATCAATCGATTTATCGCAAAGCACACCACGCCACTGATCCTGATGTATTTTGAATAAATAGAGCTAAAGCGACACTACCTAGTACCCGTTTATTTCGTGGCAGATCAGCGAAACAACACAGAAAATGTGTCATTCAATAATTTTTCCAGTTTCACTAAACTCTTCCAAATTTCTTCCAAATTTTTCATGTGCGGTTTTGTTGTCAGGCAAAATGTTTCTACGGATCTGAGTGTTTCCTTGAAAATTTTAAAGCCACCTGTGACCTGTTGCGACATACCAAATAAAAAAATGACCCAAAAAAACTGTCGAAGCTCAGTTTTCACGATCATAATTAATGCCTAATAGAAATGGGTAATCAATACTGTTAAGCGTTGCAAAATTAGGAGGGCATCTAAGTTTTGATCAACACAAATTGAGAGCAGGATATTGAATATGTCTCTTCCGGTTTAAGTCGATCACAAGAAAGATAGGCGCCCCTTGATAAATTTTGATCGACAACCCTCCGACAGTCGCATTTATGATCCGTTTTGATTGGCTCATTTATGATCTTGAAAACCGAGCTCGAGAGTCGCTTCACCCTGTAACACCCGTCCCTAACACAAATTTGGGATCTCAAAGTTTCACTAATTCTTTAATTTCTCATCTTTATCCGCACGAAACCCCTTGAAAATCTCGAGCTCAAATCTATGGTGTGTCCCGGACAAATCAGTAACCTTCATAGATTGTCGAGCCGGCGATCTTCGAAAAGGCAAATTTCCGCGAGTGGATTTGGTCGGCTTTATTAAGCATATCGGCAGGGTTACAAACACAAGCAGAAAAACGTTCCGCTGAAAGCAAGAACTAAACTCAGTTGCTCGATGAATTTTGGCCAACGTCTCCATCCATCCTTTTTCCTACCCATCTTGGAAGGTGGGTCGATAATTTTGGACGTGGTCCTCCATTGCTGCCGGCATGAAAATCAAATGTAGGCGCACCGTCGTCCGGATAGGGAATTTCGTTATGTTGTAACGGAGGTTGGCAATAGGTCAAAAACTCGACCGAATCCAGTCGCGGAAATTCTTAAGAAGGTAACATGCAACAATCCCATCGATGGGCCTCTTTAAAGCCCTTAGTACGTGCGCGGGTTGGACACTCGAGTCGCATTGTGGGCTGATTATTGAAATTGATAGACAAAGCAATAGACAAAAAGGATATGGAGGGATCCTATTGGTGGAAGCGGGTGGTTGCAATGGACAAAAGAAGTAGGCAATAGACTAACTGACGGCGACCCACGAGAGACCCGATAGTTAGTCCATCATTTACCCCTTAGTCTATAAGAACCACCCATTTCAACCAATAGGATCGCGCATTTGAGTATGAAAACGTAAGTTACCTTGGTGCGGCAGGTCTGGCCGGTGTAACCGCGGCCGCAGGCACAGCTGAAGCTGCCGATGTGATCGGTGCAGGTGCCGCCGTTGAGACAAGGCGAGGACTCGCACTCGTTAATCTCCAGTTGGCACTGGAAACCGGTGTAACCTGCCAAACAAACAGTTTTTCCTCTTTCACATGGAGTTTGTGCTCAATATTCAACGACCAACCTCCCGGCACCGTTCCTTTGAGTTATTGCACTCGTCTTTTTCATCCCCCGCGCCCGGGATTGCCACCTTCGTGTTGCCACTTATATCTAGAGTCCCTTTTGTGAGAGAGTTTAGACGCTCTCGCGGATTATGTCCAATGCATTTCGTCATTCGCTCCCTGCGGGCCGATTATTAAAATTGATAGACAAAGCTATAGACAAAGATGACAAAAGCTATATGGAGGGAACCTATTGGTGGAAGCTGGTGGTTACAATGGACAAAGGCAGTAGGAATAGACTAACTAACGGCAACCCACGAGAAGCCCGACAGTTAGTCTATCATTTTCTCCCTTAGTCTATAAGAACCACACATTTCAACCGATAGGATCGCTCCATACCCCCCATGTCTTCCTTGTCTATAGCTTTGGCTATCAATTTCAATAATCAGTCCGCAGCGGGCTTATTGTTGAAATTGATAGACAAAGCGATAGACAAAGAAGACATAGTCAGTATGGGGCAATCCTATTGGTTAAAATGGTTGGTTCCTGTAGACCAAGGGAGAAAATGATGGAAACAATAGGTTCTATCGAGGGTTGCCATTAGTTAGTCTATTATCTAACTTCTGGGTCCATTGCAACTACCCGCTTCCACCAATGGGATTCCACCATATCCCTTTTGTCTTCTTTGTCAATAGCTTTGTCTGTCAACTTCAACAATCAGCCCGCAGCTGCCGAAGTTCGGGTCACACAGCTGAGGACTTTGATACTTTGGCTGACTGCATAGAAGTTTCGACAGAAGTACCTCAAATGTGTGACTCGCACTTCGGCAGCTGGACCTCAAATTTTCGGAAAACTTCAGTGATCCATAAGTCCTGAATTTCAGGTCCAACGCACGAATTTTTGTCCCCTTGTAGAGTGTACAGACTATAGAGAGGGTAGGTATTAACACGTCTGTGTAATTGGCTCGCCTGATTTAGGTCTTTCATGGGCTCTTAGGGACCAACGTTAACAAACCTAGCCATTGAGGAATCTGTGTTTTCGAGAGAGAGAGAGAGAAATGATTGTTACCTCAGTAAAATGTGTGTGGTTTTTTTTCCAACAAATCATCAGGGTTTGTTTAAAACTCATCTCAGAAGTTGAGAATACATTTTTCTATCAGTTCTAAAACTTCATAATCATGTTGCTTTTATTGGTTCATAAAAGCCCAATGAAATAATTCGAGATCCGTTCCTGATCAGCTCTCATTGTATCACGAAGATTATATTTATTATAAGTTGAAAAGATTATTGAGTGGAGTGGATTTGGAAGTTCAGGGTAAGACGAAGGGCAAACGGGATGGGAAAGGGGGAGGGAAAGGAATTCGGGAATCAGTTGATCAGGATAGTTGAACAGTCATTACAAAATGGTGTAATTATCGGGACCCAGGGTGCATAGCTCTCTTCATTTTTTTATATTATACAACTTTAATGACGCCTTTGAGTTATCCAATTTAACAGGAAATAATTCACAGACCTCCTTCTTTTGTGTATAGACACAAGAAATCACAAAGTGGACCAAAGGAGGAATACAACAAATCGTCGTCTCCGGCACGAAGGAACGTAACTCCACTCCAAGGTTGCCAAATTGACTCAAACAATTAACTTATGATACATAAATGTACGTAAGCAATTTTTATCCAAAATGTCTCTGTTTTTTGCTTGGGATCTAGAGAAAAATCAGGGAAATTTTCAGTCAGAAATGCCCAAGATTCTCTCGATTAATAAGTAGGCAATTTGCGAGGGGAAATTGGGCTTATTGGAATGGAGTTACGTTCTTTCGTCCGGGAGACGACGGAATGAGGAAAACGACGGTAAAATTGGCAACGGCGTTCGAAATGTAACCGCAAAGCACCGCCCGCAAGTACAAAGCTAACACTCACGCCAAACTTGTCTTTTATCAGGAAACCAATATATCCTGCTGTCATAATTTGGCTCATTTATTTTCAAGCAAGTTCGGCTCGTTTCATGGTGGCGTGCGCTCCCGGCCCGGGTCTCGAACAGAGTTAGTGATGGCAGCACCTCTCCGCAGCTCCGCCCGAGTTGCTCATTTCGTTACTCCTGCGACGCAGGGGCGTATCTCTAATTCCACACGAGCCCCGGAGAGCGTTGAGTTACACGGAGAACAGGGTTCACGTGGAAATCCAGATACGCCCTTACGTCAGAAAGGCGACGATTTCCGTGTTTGGGAGCTCCTCGTTTTTTAAATATTGCTTTTCATCCTTCTTCCCCCTTTTTTGACAGCGTCAATGGCCAAAACATCGGTTTTGCAGTTGACAAGAATCGTTCGTTGAAAATCTCAACATCAAAACCGAGCCTCGCGAGGCAGAGGTGGATCTAGCAAGTGTTCAAAATTATTTTCTCTCCTCTCAAACTTTTAAAACCAAAGTGCCCACGGGGATAGACAACCTAGAACCAAGGTCTCTCCGGGGGCAGTGAAGGTTCTTTTAGGTCACTCTGCCCGCCTCGTGGGGTCCTGTTGGTCTCTTCATTCATCCCATGGAGATCCACAGGTGTACACTTCCCCATGCTACCCAGGAACCACTTGGAGTCTTATGGGCATCCGTGGGACCTTTTTGTCAGGGAACAAGAATGGTCACCTCTTTTCATGTGCATATATACTAGTCACTTTTACAGCGCAGTAGGGTGCTTTGCGACGCCTAACCGCCATAGGAATCTGTCATAGTAGAGATATTCTAGGAGCTGGCTCCATCTCTTTTTGGATGCCTTCCATCAAACCTCATTTTTGGCTTCTCTTCATTTAAAAAAATAAAAAAAGGGGTTGCTTCCAAATTCCAACGATTTAGCAAATTGGGAATCCTGAAATTCACGAGCATTCTCTTGAATGAATTTTGGTGAGAGTCTGCCATTTTTGGGTTCCATGGAGCTTTACGATCGCCCAAGATGAATACGTCAATCGTATATAAATTTCCAGGGGTCTTTATGGGGACGGTTGCCGGAAGGAATAGAAAAGGAGGAGAAAATGAGGAAAAAATGAGGAGAAAAGAAAACAGTACTCCCATTTCCCGGAACCTTTGAGGCTTTCCTGAGTCTTTCCCAGAACTTTTGAAATTCCTAAAATGTTCCGGATCATTTGCATTTTTTGGAAATTTCTCGGAACTTTTGAAAAAATCTGAAAGAAATCCCGAAAATTTCGACGGTCACAGAATGGGAGAAATTGGAACAAAAAAGTTCCGAATCCCGGAACTTCTGACGGGAATGGAATAGGAGCATTGAAAGAAAGGCTGACCTGGTTGGCAGAAGCATCTGTAGCCGTCCCTTTGACCGACGCAGATTCCATTAACGCACGGGGAGGAGGCGCAGTGATTGGAGCCGTGCTGGCAGAGCGGGCCTTTGAAGCCGGGCGGACATGAACACTTGAATTGAGCGGCAGTTTCGTTGCTGGTCGAGCAGGTGCCTCCGTTCTGGCACGGCCCGGACTGGCATGGGTCTGACGTGTCCTCACAGACTTTCCCCGTGAAACCTGAGCAAAGGCACTAATTAGTTCATCATCCCAGCAACAAAACACTTCTGTCCTCAAGAAAAGCGCCTACGAACATTTGAGGCGTTGTCGAATTTACTCTGATGAAGTACCGGTTCACTTGAAAATTGGTCAATTTCTATTTCTTTGAATGTTTTTAAGACTTTCCCATGCTTTATGGATAAGTGTATTTGAAAATATAAAGAAAAAATATTCCTATAAGATATCAAGAGAAAATTTGACAACACTTAAATGCTCTTACGATGTTCTTTAGGACGGCAGAGCGCACCATATGTGACTTCTGTCTTTCATAGGTAGTGCAATTTTTTTTACTACCCTCAACCCTGATAAATGCCGTACTTCACGCTAAGGTATAAATTGTTATACATGATTTTCAAGCGTTGCTCGATTTAGGACTTTAGAAACCACCTAATATAATTCTCCTTCTTTTCCCTGAAAAAAGGAAGTCAGTTTGTACGAACTACAGAGAACCAGGCTATACGAACTGAGCCATTCTATGACACCTTTTCCTATCCTCAACCCTGATAAATGTCTTACTTTACGCTAAAGTATAAATCGTTATATATGATTTTTAAGCGATGCTCGATTTAGAATTTTAGAAATCGCATAAACTAAATTCTCCTCTTTTCCCTGAAAAAAGGAAGTCAGTTTGTACGAACTACAGAGAACCAGGCTATACGGACTGAGCCATTTTACGATACTCCTGCAACAAACATAATATTAACCGAGTTCATTCGAAAAGAACGGAACAACTATGGAGAAAAATGAAGCTAACTACACCTGATTTTCTTAAAATATTTACACTCGACAGGAGATTTTCAAATCCATCATTTTGTATTATTAAATCAAGGGGCTTGAAATGGAGGAGGCTAAAACTTCAAACCTATGTTCTCTCAGTTTCAACGCGACTTCGGTTAATTCTGATACTTCCGAACTCGATTCTTTCATTGTACCAGTGGCGTGGCGTGCAGGATCGATTATCGATATTTCTCCATTTGAAGCTGTAGTAAAGAATCGATTATCAAAGGCGTTCGTTGCGAACACCTTGATATCGATCCTATTCCATAGATTTAAATGGCAGATCAATCGATATATCGCAAAGCGCGCCACGCCACTGCATTGTACATATTTTCTGCTTTAAGGTGAGCTATCAGATCAAAAACATTTTTTTCCATTTTGGCGCTCAATCAAGCGCTCACGCAAGAAGGAATTGGGTTAGGTAATATAATTTAGCTCCGCCAAGACCAAGGGCAGGTTCTTTTGAGCCGGGAAATCGAGGAGTTCTTGACATATTTTCTTCTTATGATGCTTTTTTTAATTAGTCAAAGGTCGCGAGAATTGGACCGAGGCATCCGCAGCTCTGCAGAAAAGTAAGCGTTTTTGAGCCTCGGTGCTTTGGTTCTGTTCTCACTTTCGACTCTTTTGTCATTCCATGATCCATTTAAACTCGCAATGCAGCCAGAAGTGCTCGTTCAGAGGACTGACTTCCTCAGCACAGCTTCTTAAACACATTGCTGCCACCTCGGTCTCGATGTTGCAAAATTGTGCAGACCTTACCATTGTCACCGCTAAATACTATTGAATCGGAATACGTTCGTAAGTAACCCTTCAAAAAATTTTCTTGCGATGAAATTTCCTCAAAATTTTCGTCGAATTTTGCAAAACTGCGGAATTGCCAAATTTTACACATTTTTCTGCCTCTCAATGTTTCATTATTTTGGCAACACTGCTCCGTTTGGAAGATATAATTATTGAGTATTAAATGCAGTAAGATGTGACCTTAATAGTGATCGTCCTCGAACAAAGAGATCTCATCGGTCATTGATAGTCCACGGAAACTCAAAATTGACTTTCGATAACACAGCATTGAGGACTCGTTTTAAGGTCGGCGCCGAGAAAAGGGTATCTGATAAATGGATTACATTTTTCAATTATGGGACTGCTATTACTGGCTTATTTTAGAAACAACATGCGTGTAATTAGTTCCCCCATGCAGATAGATTATTTTACTCTCGAAGAAGCTTCCCCCTGGTCACGCTCGAGCTTGCTCCTTTGTCATTTTGTTTGTCCGCCATTTTGAAAGATGACTCGTCTCAGAATAATGAGGATTCGCAGTCGAGACTAAAGGTCGCGCTGACCAAACATGGATTGGGTATTAAAATCTGTTAGAAAACTCTAGGTCTCAAATCTCCAAGTAGAAAAAAAAAAAAAGAAAGAAACAACAACATAAAACTGCGTGAATGTTAACACGAGAAATAAGTCCAGCGAACACATTTGATGAAAGTGGAATTGCAAATAATGTAAATATTCCGCGACTGTCTTTTGCAACAACGTACAACGTGGTTGCGTTTGTGCGACAGGAGGATTAAGCGTGTAATTGAATAAGCTTGTATCACGACTAGTTTGATTATTCGTCGAAGCAGCTTACGGTAGGGAGCCTCGCTGAGAGACAGAGAATCCCCTTGTAACTGAGCGTAACTCAGAGTAGCAAGATGGGACAATGGAAAACCGTGTCAACATCTCAGCAGCATTGCACACCGAGAAAAATATCTATTTAAATCAAAAGGAACTTTCCTTGGATATTTCTTGTGAACAAGTTTCAACTCTTTAAAATAGGGACGAGGAATTGTTTCTGAACTACTTACATTGAGTCCAACCCAGGGAAATATTTGAAGGGCGTACCGTGTCCGATTAAGATAAAAAGAAAAGAAAGAAAAGTACGAGAAAAACTACGGAAGAGTCTTGATTATCTGCGGAGGCTGTATTTTGTATGGCTCTATTAAAAAACTTGTCGAAGATTTGGCAGAAAAATTAATACATTTTACCAGAAAAAAAGTTATTTTGGCAAACAAAACATCATTCATTTTATCAAACATTGTTATAGTGTTTCAGGAGTATTTTAGTGACTATTATTACAAAAATGCTATCGAAAAAACCCGATAATTGAAGCGTGGATATTCGAGACTTGCTCTACTTTGCAGACCACTCAATGTTGACGTCCCTAACATCAGGAGATGATAATATTCTCCTTTATTTTATGGAAGACGAGGAATAATTGACTATTTTTTTTTTTTTTTTTTTTACAGATTGCAATTATCAACGGGAATAAAATCTAGGTGCGCCAGTGTTAATTAACGCAAGTTGGTCACCCTGTTTACCCTTTTTTTTAAGGTTTTATTCAAGATTTCGCCTACTACAAAAGTATTAAGAAATTCCCTTATTTAAAGGAACGGAAAATAATTGATTCTGGATGAAATACACTGTCTTAGCTACAGTCGATTTTACGTGCTTATAAATGTAGGAAACCCTAGGGGCAACTTACAAAAATCACCACTGGTTACGAAGACGAAGAGGTGGTCCCATCTCTCTTACAATTTGGTCTATTATTCAGATGCAAACCATATTTTTAAGGATGGTGCAGTAGCATTCATGTGAGACGTACAAATCATTGATTCAAATCACGCCTCTTCAAGGATAAAGGTAGGTGGTGAAATAGCTACGTAGGGTTTCCACAGAATTCGCCACAGAAAATATCCAAACAAACATTGCAAATGTCAGTTCAGCAGAATGAACCAATCGGCAACGCTGTAACGATGTACCCAGGAGGCTCAAGCAAACTCCGGGGTTTATTATGGCCAGCACGATTATTCATGCAATGACATACTTCCCCCACGCACGAGGAGTTCAAGTGGAGCCAGATGCGATTACGGAAGCCTGAGCGCCTGCAATTTCGTGTGTATGCATCGCGGACATCCGCAAAGCTCGAATAGTTGTATCCTGGCTTTGTCACACTCCAAAACCGCTCGCCTTCTATTTACCCCTCCTGTTTGTGATGACAAAATATGTAAGTGGCGTTGCATATGTGGGTTGTTGTTGCACGTAGCAAGGGGAATTCGAATATAAAATTGGGGGAAAATAATAATATTAAATCGAAATATATGTGTGAAAATAAATGGAACAGGGGCTAATTTTTGCGGCAGTTACTAAACTGAATTTATTGGCACTTTTCCCATTTAAGTAGACATCTGGGTATTCTCATTTAGTTTATTTAGCAGTATGATTCGTGCTCATGAAACAATTTTTTTGATCGGTCAATTCTAATTCTCAGAGCTCTGAAAATTAAAGTATCAGGAAACGGCGATTTAAGATCGCATTTTAATTATTTCAGAAATTGTCCTAGAATTCAACGCGAACGTAAAGATAAAACTGTGATAGAGTCTTCTCAGAATAAACAGTCGAATTTCGACTTATTTTTTTCTTCTATTCGGAGAAGAGTTTGTCGTATTAAAAACCGGTTTTGTGCTCGTCATCTCGTTAAAAAAATCCATCTATGCTTTAGCAATGAAAATCATCCTTTAACCAATTTTCGAATTTTCAACGGCTATGCCTTTTTACGAATGACTGATTCAACTGCTCAAACCAAACTTGGTTTTTAAGCAAGAAACGACCAGTTAAGTCCATTAATTTAAATTGACGTTTCTTGAAATCTCGCATCGCTGTTGAGAAACTCTGCAAACGGCGCGAATGACATAAATTAAGGATGGAATCCGTACTCCCTGAGTGGGATGTTGATTCCTTGATTGAACGATATTGACGCTAGGAATGTAAGAGAGTAGAAGACTGGACTCAATAATTTACTTCTTGTTTTTCACCCATTCAACGAACGAATTGATTCGTCTCGTGTGGAAACGTTCGATGTCCAGTACAGTGTTGCAGGATTTGAGTGGACGATTGTCTTGTAATTCACAGGCACAAGATGGTTCAAGACGTTAGGAATGTAGAACAATTTTACAAAAATTCTTTTAAGTATAATTAAACGATTACTAAAGTGATCGCTCTCATTTACCAGTGTCGGGGGGCAAAAGAAATCACTGGAATTATGAAACCCTGTGTTGGACAACGGACGTTTTAGCGTGAGCCGATTCAATTGGAGGGTAAATACTCTCCTACGGAGCGTAAATAAACAGAGCAGTGAATCCTTTTCCCTTCCAATGTTTCTTCTCAATCTGTTTATCTATTACTTGAGTTGAAAACTTATATTCCCGGATCTTTTGAGAGAACTTTGACCGAATAAACACATCGTCGCCCCTTCCTCCTTTTATTTAGTTGGCTGCATCTTCGTGTCGAGAATCAGAGATTAAATAATTCTTGTGTCTCTTCTAAGCGTTACGCAAAAAAAAAAAAAAAAAAAAAAAAAAAAAAAAAAAAAAAAAAAGTAATAATGATAATAATTTTTTGCGCCTCATCGTATTTGTAGTAATAAACTATGTAAACTCACCTCTATATGAAGAGACATCAACCTAAGGATAAGTTGATAAAGTCAATAGTCCGTTTGGATTGAGTTTAACGAAGAAAAAAAAGCAAAGAGGGGCCAGGTTTTTTGGCAAAAAAGGAGTGAACTCGTTTCCTTATACTTGGAAGAACTCCCGTAGGCATAGTTATGCAGTAAGTTATCTTTTCTCAGATCTAATTTTGCTTTTAAGCAATCTGAGATGGAAGCAACTATGCGTTTTGTTCTTTTCTTTGAGTCACTTTGGTTCATTTCGTATTAAACTAGAGGAACCGAGTGATAAATTAATATGAAAATCATGTTAAAGCGAAAATAATTGGTTATGCTTTATGGAAAATTTCGCAAAATCTTTGAGACATCGAAATGCTTGAGTTCCTTCTTGCTAAGTTCGGTCCAATAGTCTAGAGGATTATGAAAGCCACTAAAAATAACTATCAGGAATGATAACTCAAGGACTTCGCACTTTGATCTGAACAGGTTTAAATGTGTATTTCTACCCTTTTTTAATCTCCCTGTGTCCTTTCATTTCGTGTTAATGCATCAGAGTTTTTTTCCATGAGAAAATATTTTCATAATAATTATAAAAATCTTTATTCTCCATGCATGATATCATGAATAATACATTAAATGCAAATTTAGAAGTCAGCGGAAAAAAATTATACGTGGGTTATCATATAACGCTTTTGCAAGTTATCAAAGTTGCACGACAAGTTGCTGGGGAAATAGTTAATTTAAGGATCACCGTAAAAAAATACGTTCGGTTAACTGAGTCAAGAAATTTGGTAAAATTGTCAACCACTTGACAGACTTTGTCCTTAAAATCAGTTCGTTATGAGGAGAGTCACAATCAGTCAGCACCTTGCACTCTCGTATTTGCAAGGAAGAAATATACGAGCGCCCTCACGTACACAAGCAAAATGAGCTTCCGTTGCGAGATATTTATACAATATTTGCAACCGTTACACAAAAAACCAATTCTTCTGCAATGCTTATTTTAGTGTCCACATACCGTTTCCAAGCTATAAAAAATAAGAGCTTTTCAAAGACGCACGTTCTTTGGAAGTTGCAGTGGTTTTTTTGTGCAGAAAATTTGTATGTGTGGTTGGTTGGTAGATACATTTATTTGATGCTTTTAACATGTATGTATGTATTTATGTAAAAGTCGCTTCTTCGGCGCGCTAGGGCGCTCTGCGACGCTTACCCGCCACAGGAATCTGTCATGAAAAATCTAAAAATTTAAATCAGAAAATATCTTGCCAGGGCGGAATATTTTCACTCTATTCCGAACCTTTTCACGGGTGATTTTTTCTACAACAATATTCAGCATAAATATCCACAAAATACTATTAAAGCCGAAATTTAAAAAACGATAGTTCGGAAAAAAATCTTCGTTTAAATGTTGAATACAAAGAGAATGCAAGATCACCAAAGTACAATAGATTTTAAAAAAAAAAAACACTAAATCGAACCGTCTGATAATTACCGTATGGGCAGAGGCACTGGAAGGTGGTGCCATCATGGCCTTGAGATATATCCACGCATATTCCATTATTGCGGCAAGGGCTGGGGTAGCAAGCGTCTCTCTCCTCGCATCGCGGCCCAATGTAACCCACGCAACATTGACACTCGTACATATCCTGCAATTCAAAGGAGGAGGTAGAAGTTTTTTAAAAGAAACTTACCAGACCCTACGCATAGAGTACATAGAGTCGTAATGTAAATGGGAGAGCTGGCGCCATGTTCTGCTCGACGAATTCCGAGCCCGGTATGCGCCGAGTTCGGGTCGCTTTTTCGATACATTTTCGATCCAAAATGGCGGTAAGGAATACGTGGTAATTCCTATCTCCTTTGTTGTTGTTGTTGTTGTTGTCATCGGATGGCCGAGTACCCGTGTATCGCAAACAATCGATTATGTATCGAAAAAGTGACCCGGCGTCACACTGGAGTCTCAGAATTCGGGACATGGAAAATGCTTAAAAGTGGCGCCAGCTCTCCCACTTACATTACGACTCTATGTACTCTATGACCCTACGACAAAGTATGAATTAAAGCATTGCGTAACTTGATCCTTGTTCAAAATCGCACCAAAAAAAAAAAAAAAAAAAACAGGACGAGAAGAATTCATCGTTCCATACGTATCGAATTTTCGATTATCGGCTCCTGTAGGTGAATTCGTGCGTGCGGAACTACTGGGACCCGCCGAGAAGTCAGCGGGAAGTTTGAACCGCTCCGAAGTTGGGCGCCTCGCGCGAGGAGCGGGAAATAAATTAAAATTGACGGGCATTCTTCACGGCGCTGCGGAGGGCGCCCAACTTCTGACGGCAACAGCAACGGCGACGGCGACGGAAAAGTAATTTTCCGCAGCACCGCCACCGCCGCGAGTTCCTCGCCCGCCCGGGAAAAATCCCTCATTTCGGGGAGTTTTTAACCGCGCGCGCGGTGTCGGAATCAATCGTACAGAAAAACGGTAGCGGAAGGAGAAAAGTGAAAGCAGGGCTGCCGTTTTTCGAGGTTACTTTGAAAAAAAAATCTCGGTATATTTACTGAGAAAAGGGTAAAATTACCAAGAATTCAGGGTTCTATTTGATCCCAGTTTTTTCTTGGTAAAATTACCATTTATGGAATTGGTAATTTTACCGAGAAATCTTGGTAAAATTATTGACTTTCTCGGTAATTTTACTGGACCTTGGTAAAGACGCCAATATTTTTTATCGACTGTGGTAGAATTACCGAGATAAAATGGCAAAGTTACCGGGAATTGATTACCAATAAAAGTGGTATTATTACCTGAAAGAACCAGTAAAAATCCCAGTTTTTAGGTAAGCTTACCAGCCTGTCTTAGTAAAATTACCAATAATTGGTAAAAAAAAGTGAGATGGTAAAGGTACCAACGGGCCTTGGTAAAAACGCCGAGGAGGAACGTACGAATTGTAGGTAAAGGAGCACCGAAATGGCTCGGAAACTTGGAGGTACACAGTAAGAACATTGTATTAAAAGAGCGTTCTTCATTACATAACGCACTTTTTCGCCATTTTTTCGCCATTCGCCCCTCCCCCCGTAACGCTTCGTAATGCAACCCAGGACGCCGTCCCCCAATACGCAACGCTTGACGGACTCCTCTTAAAATCGCAAAAATTGTGGAAAACTGTTGAATGTATAGTTTAATAAGATTTGAAGTATTTTTAATGGTATTGTAACAAATAACGTTGAAGAAGTTCGGATGATACATTGATACATGCATTTTTATGCGAAAAGATTGCGCGAAATTTCTCAAGATTTTGTGTGTGTTTTAGGCACCCTGCATATGGCCCACAGAGTCGGTAAAAACAGGGCAAGGGTAGGGGTAAATCAGTGAAAGAGTCAGAAGTCTAGGGATATTTTTTTTCTAATTTCGTATTTTTCCGCAAGAGGGAACGTGACTCAATCCCAAGGTCGCAAAATTGACACAAACAATCGATATTTTACGAGGATAAACTTGCTTAGTTTTTGTCGAAAATTTGTCTAATTTTTGCACGAGATCGGAAGAAAATTTAGTGAAATTTTCGGTTAGGAATTCTCAAAATTCTCCCGGTAAAAATGCGATCCGCTCGGAAAGCATTTCTCTCGTGAGAATCACGAAGATTTTTAAATGCACTTTGAAAATTGTTGAAGTGTGCACCGTGTACAGCGTGGAGGACAGTGAAAATATGCTGCTGAATCCGTACCCTTGGCGGTTTCGGTCAAAATCACAGTCCTTCGAAAAATTCGATTTCGCTCGAAACTCCGGCAAATAGTCCGGAATATCCTAAAGACTCCGGTTTTTGGAAAATTCTCCGGCAAACGGCAGCCCTGCGTGCGTGTGAGCCCCCCCCCCCCCCCCCCCCCNATCATTCGGCCGATCCCCGAAACCATTAGCCACGTGTGAATTGAAATGGATCCTGTGTGAATAATTATCCTGAGCGAGAGTAATCCGGTGTCACATTCGGTGGATCAACGAGGGCGCTCCCCATCGAAAACTCTTTTTAACTCGGTGATTCGTCCCGACCGTCACGTCCTTCGTCCCGACCGTCACGTCCTAACCGAGAGCTAATAATCGTCGTCTCGCCGTTATCGAGCGGAAAATGTGTTTTTCGAAATTCACGTCCTCCTTTTTCCCACTTCCACGGAGCATTGCCGGGTGCAGAGGGGTGAACTTGCGTACTTCTTCGAGGGGTTCCGAAGAAGCTCGGGCAGTGAAAGAAAAGAACATATCGACGGTGAAACCACCAAACCACGTATCTCGGTTTGCGACGTCGCAGACTTCCTGTCATACTTTATTTTTTAAATGAAAAACTACTTAACATCCAGTCTTGAAAATTTCTGTGATTTTTCATCTTTGTGCGGAGAAAATTCCGTGAAAATTTCAAGGAATGATATTGATTTGGTCTACTTCAAAAAAATAAAATGTGAGCGTAGATTTTTAAACACCGCAAACGAGATACGTGGTTTGGTAGTTTCACCGTCTATATGGTGCCATGCAAAAGAAAAACGCCAAATGAGCCTTCAGACGTTGCCAAATTTCCGTTCACCGATCACGAATTTGCGGGAAAACGAGTTGTTAATTCCTTCCGGTTTTTCAGAGAATTTTGTTCGTAATTTGATTTAAAGGGCCTGATTTAAAGGAAAAATATTCATAGCTTTTCTCGTAAATACGTGAGGGGCTTGGAGGACAAGGCGTGTAAGTGCGGTTTTTGCTGTTTCAGGAAATACGTATTTAAAGTTTCAAAATTACATGGAGCCTTATGGCGGAGAGGAAGTTTAAACTTACTTGTTGATGCTTTAAAGTTGGATTTTAGTTGTAAAATTCTCACAGAGTGTGCTTCCAAACTAGTCTTGGTTGAGTTTATGAGTATCTCAATTTTTTCAAAAACTGCACTTATGCGCTTTGTCCTCGAAGCCCTTCAAATATTTTTTGAGATGGAATTTTGCAACATTCAAATGTTCATACTGCTCTCTCTCTCTTAGCACGGTAGTATGGATGGCTGAAGTTCAAAACCACGTATCTCCATTGCGGTGTTTCCAAATCTCAGCTCCTATTTATTTCTTCGAAGAGGAGCAAGTCAACTGTAAAGCTTGAAACTTATACTAAAGATTCTGCTAATAGAGACGGCTAAAAGAGTTATACGCGATTGAAATGAATAGTTCTAAAAGCTAGAAACAGGACGGTGAACCTCATCTGTATTTTTTTCCGATCGCGATCGACCGTTCTTCAATTTTCGGGCTGTCTGAGAGGTCTAGTTTTCGGAATTTCTGGGTTTTTTCATGCCAACTAATGCAGAATTAATACCTCCGGGCTGTTTGATATTTATCTTATTTTATTTTTACACCTTGAACAATTCACTTCGACGCAAGCTGACTTTATCACATTCTACTGTGCCATGCTGAAGAAAAACGACGGAAAAGACTTTAAAAGTTGCCAAATTTCTATCCAAAACCAATAAACCTCCTATTTAGATTAACATTTTCGGGCATTTATGTCCAAACGTGCCCATGAAACATTTTCTATGTTCTCGTATTAATAAAGCAATTTCAGTTTTTGTGGACGAAGTTTTCTCTCCCTGGACTGCCATACATCCCAACATTGAAAAATTTTCCTGAAAACTGAATTGATTTTATCACAAACATTTGGCAACATTTCAAGGTTTTTACGATGGCGGTTCTTATCTTTGTAAAAACATAATCTGCCAAAAAATCAGAGAGAGGGGAAAGAAGGTACGATATGCGCTAATTTACCATTGAATCTTTGGTGAAACAAAGACCTTTGTCCGAGCAGCTTTGGTCGTCCCCACAGTTATCTGACTTCATGGTCACCTGCAGATGAATGCACTCCGAACCCCAGAGTTTTGAAGTCACTGAAACAAAAATAAAGTGAGTTAAAAAATTAATTTCTCGTGGATTAATTATAAAGTCGTTAGACTTATTAGTGGGATTCTAGGGAAAGAGTTCTAAATAAAATCATTTTTTTAGTGTCAAGAAGCACAAAAGTTAATATGAAAAAGGTGAGCTACATAAAGTAAGAAAGACTGGTCAAAAAAGATGATAATTAACATACCGACGGCGAAACTCCTAGAGCTTGCACACTCATCTCGGTTTGCGATGTTGCAGACTTCCTGTCATACTTTATTTTTGAAATGGAAAACTCTACTCAATGTCAATCCTCGAAAATTTCCTTGATTTCTCTACTCTGTGCGAGAAAAATTCTATGAAAACTTCAAGGCATCGCGTGAACTGCTTATTACACCCGTATCACCGAGGTTTTGACATTTTCCATTTTCCATGTGAAGATTTCAATCTGGACCGCGCTAAGCAGAATGGAACTAAGCCACATCAGCTATGGCACAATTTAGTTGGGCAATTTAATTTTTTATAAAACGGTCGTGCGGATTTTTGCGCAGATTTCAGTAAATTTTCTTCAACTTACGAGGCGAATTCCTAAAAATTCTCAAAGGAATCCACACAAACGTTTCCTTGTAAAAAATTAAAGTTGGCAATAACTGACGTGGCTTGGTTCATTTCTGCTAAACGCGGTTCATTTATCCCCCTGAAAAAAATGGCAACCCCTCTTACTCAGAATCCTGATTTGGAAGATTTTTAGTGTATTTTCCGAAGAAAATACACTATTTTCATTATTCTTTTAATCACGCTGAGGTCACCATTTTGTTGTTTACACTTCAGAACTATTGAATAACTATTCAACTTCATAATAGCACTGTGGATATGACTTTATTCACACGGGTTTATAGCGTTACAATGCGTATGTGTACAGAACACCGTTAGCACGGAGACATATCTGGTCGGAGCTTAATTAGCTTTAACAAACCGTGAGCGAAAAGTGATCATTCCCCCTCCCCCTCCCCCCCCAAGCGGTCGGAGTGGTCACGTATAGACCCGGAAAATGAGCAAAATATCTTAAATTTTAAGCCTTCAAAAAGCTGATGGGCACGATAGGCCAGCAACGAGAGGGCAGAGGATGCTCGTACCTTCGGAAGTTGATGAATGGATGAATTATGAGCGCCGGATACGGAGAGCGTTGTCGCGATCAAAATTTAATTTTGAGTGAATGCGCCGCGCAATTTTTCAATCCAGTGACTAAAATAATGAACTTTTCCGATTAGATTGCCAGCCTCCAGGGTTCCCTCGTAAACTGCCGCGCTAACGCATCGCGAGCGACGGATACGGAAATTTCGACCGCAATCTGACGGCCCTGTCTAATTTCTCGCTTTACTTAGCAGCTTTTTCATCGAATCAATCGGTTAGCCTTTTCAGAGCGCCTTCAGCCTCGGCTTTGTTTCAGCCTTCCGCCGCACAGTGCATCGAATCAATCAGAAAGCCTTGACATGAATTGTTCAACTAAAACTGCAAATTTTGACGTTTGATTCGTCATATTTCACATTTTAAGGGGTGTTTCTTAAAGAAAATTTCACGAGAAAATCATTAGAGCCACTTTTAAAACCCCAAAGTTGTGTATAAACGGAGTTATAAGCGTTTAAAGTTTCCGAATTTTGTCAGACTTCTCCAATTGACACGTTCCATTGTGCGCCGATAATATGCCCCGTCTATTCCGGCTCCTGAAACTGTGAAGATGCACGGATTTCGGTCTGCGTGTGCAGCTATCGTTAGTTAGCTATTGTTTGCATCGGGGTCAAACTCATATTGTTCCAAACATAAATTGTTACGTATGGGGTCGTTCATAAAATTACACAGCGTCCTAGGGGGGAGAGGGTGGTCGAAACGAGCATGACGCCACTTTTTTAAGTACCAAAGGATATGGACCTACGTCACAGAAGCGTCACAAGAGGGGGTGGCAGAGGGGGGGAGGGTCAAAGATGCCTAAAAAGTACGCTAAGTAACTTATGAACGCTCTCTATGATGAATGCAAATTTCAAATTCTGCGCTGTCAGTATTTTCTGTGGCTGGGTTTGGATCGTGTATTTTGTATATATTGATATTAAAAAAATAAACTCTGAAATACTTCCATCAGCCGTTTTTCATTGACACGGAAAGGAGGGTAAGAGAGGGTTCCTTATTTTTCATTTCTCAAAAATAAATGCGATCGAAACTCCAGGAGTGAGCACTTTTTAATATAAACGAAACCCACAAAAAGAGGTATAAATACCCACATATTAGGTATTGATATTTGGTATACACATATTAGGTATTATATAGGTATTGATATTAATATGAGGGATGGGGGTAAAAAGATAAGTTTTTGAATATTTCTAGGGGGGAAGGGGTGTGCTCCTGACCCGTAGAACCATTTTCTTGCAATGATACGAATTTTTGAACATTGCTGAGTTCGGTTGTCTTCGGACTGAGGTATTCTATTTTACTTGGCGTCCGCAGATTTTGGGCGCTTCTGGGTACCAGATGCGCCCTTTCCAGCCGTTCGACTCCCCCGATGTAACATGTACTATACTACATACCGTTTTGCCTTATGGGTAATGACGCCATTCTGGTACACCCGGGAAAGTTTGATTTTTTTCTGCATCTGGTATTCGTAAAAGTTTTCGTGAAATGTTTTGCTTTTAAGCATAACAATCTCGCACGGACGTATTACCTGGTTAAACTATTTTGGGGCTTCGTTATGCTTAAATGCCTTATATTCGAGGTTGTAGTTTCAGATTGATTCGAAAAAATCACGAACAGTCACGCGATCTCTTCATTTTAGTGACGTATAACTGTGCTATTTTGTGATTGGTTCATTTTCTCGGCGCAGCATCGTCAAGCGTCAGCTGTTTGCGGCTCTGGGTTGAAGGTTTAAGGTTATGTCAGAGAGAATAGAAAGTTAGAGGCCCGACTCGATGCTAGGTAATTGAAACAGATGCGCTCGCAGCGCGCTCGCTGGCAACGTACGCAACTACTATTTTCTATTGTTTTCCAGAGACTAGCGGCGGGTATGTTGCTGCCAGACCACCTTCACGTAGGCAATTTGTTATACATCGTCCTTCCGCAATACTCTCGCTTGGCCGTATGAAAACGTTCCTCGCATGCGCAGTGTTAAAGAAGCGCCCTACAACGCTTTGGCGTTGGAACTGCTTGTTTGAGTTGGTCTGATTAAACTGTAGCTTTGCCTGAACCGTTCACGCTGCCAAAAAAATTGGTGCAGAATCCCACGAAGGAGGTCGTCGCTTACGGTATCAAAGTACCCATTCCTCAGTCATCGGCGAGACCCCTAAGGACCCCGAGGACCCTAACCCCCCCCCCCCCCCCCNTCCGGAGTGGGCAACAGTAAAAGAGGTCCGCAGCTCATCGCCAATGGCCCCGAAATTCCCTTGAAAATTTGTTGAAGGAGGATTAGATGAGAATAAGCAAGGACTCGAGGATCCGATCGTGAAGGTACGCTTTCACAGGTAGCGCGCGACGCGAAGTTGAACGCTCGAATAGAGTAGAGTCCCTTTATACTGAGAGTCAAGACAATGCGAATCCATTTCTGATTGGTTAACCGGATTTTAGGCCTTCACAGTGTCACAAACGGGAATAAAGATTACATTTTCACCAATTGCAAAGATTATAATCTGGAATGGACCGAGAAATTTCGGGTTCGACAAGGAACAAACGGAATGAGAGAAGGAACGGAGAAAGGAATTTAAGAATGAGCCGATCAAAGATTACGAAAAACGTTCAATTTCTGTAATCTTTATTCCCGTTTGTGACTCCATGAGGGGTGTTGTCTTGACAGTATAAAGGGATTCTAGAATAGAGTATACAAATAGGGAGAGTACTGCCGTGCTAAGGTGGAACGCCGTATGAACGTTCGAGAGTTGCAAAATTTCTCCGGATAAAACATGTACTTTCGAGGAAAGTTGTGTATATTTATCTTTAAAATTTTCAGATAATTTAGATTAAATTGCGAACAAAATCGTCTAAAAAAGTGGAAGAAAAATATTTACAATTTCCCCGATAAATTCGGTTTTTATTAGAGGAAATTTGGCACGCCTAAAGGCTCATACGGCGTTTTTCCTTAGCACGGCAGAGTACACGGCCATGACGAAATATGGAGCCCTCAGTGCCCTAAAGGGTAGCCCTCTAACACAAAAAATGCCAATGCCAATCTTTAGATTTCAATACCAAACCAACATGGCCAAGTTCGTTCGTAAATGAGCGTCTTTCCACTAAAATGAGTAAATTTATGCAAAAACTAAGTCAAATACATGCTTTACAAAAGACCGATCGTAACAGTTGTAAAAATAAATCACTCTGGATAATTTTAATTCATGGGTTGGCTGCCCTTTTGGGCATAATTACCGACATGTCCGTACTCTCCCAATATAGGTACTCGACGCGCGAGCAAGTAGAATGTTTTCAATCCGTCCGTTGCCATTGGCGTAAGTCACGGGCAGAGACAGTCACGGGAATCGCTAAATCCGTGAAAATAGCCAGGTGTAGGTAAAATACTGCACCTCAGCGATAAGACTATGATTAGTTAGTTGATATATTTTAAGACATTCAGCGTCACAGGCTATTAACGTCTTTACAGAATACATATGGATGCATATAGAGATGCATACACGTAAATAATTCATACATATGTCTAGATACGTATAAATTAATAGTGGCCTATGAAAACGTGTCACCAACATGAAGCCGTCGTTCAGTGGGCGAACGGGAGGTGCATCTATTCTCGTCCTAACCTTCAAACATGAAAATAATAAGGGTTCTCGGGGATGTTTTCATGATAAAAGGATCTGATGTAAAAATTCTTATCGTAAAATCTCCTATAGGGTGCCTTATTCATTCAGGCACTTCAAACCGGGGAGGGGGGGGGTGTCCTGAGTTGCTTCCCCAAGAAAATTTTCGAGCTTTTAAAGCGTCTGACATGCAATTTGAGTCAATTTCGTCTAGAAAAATTACCAGATAAAAGCGTCCTTCCTCCTTCTTTCCTCTGTTCCTTCCTTACCTTTTCTATTCTCCCTTTCCCTTCCTCTTTTCTACGTGTGCTCCCCCACCCCTTTGGATTCACCGATGAAGTGATATATCTAGACACATCTTTCCAGATAGTTTGCTCTGGATTTGATAAAAGTCCGAAAACAGTAGAGACTTGGCTCCAATCACACCAGATTACGCGGCTTTCTTGGTATCGGTTGACTTGGCGCGGGTGACTTGACGTCGAGAGCTGCCTGTGAAAGCGTTGCTCAAGAGCCAACGCCAGCGGCGGCACTCGACACTGGGCCACGTGCCGAGCATAACTCATCGTTTCCCAGGACTCATCCGAGGGTACACACTCATAAAACTTGGTCCCGATCTGTTTTTATTTGCCCCTGCTCCAACCAGACACAAACTTTCAACCTTCACGTGTTTGCTCCGACCGCAATTCCATCCTGAGGTTTTGACTCTCCGCCACTTCACCATTTCCAGCGATCATCAATTCGGACAGAGCTAAGCAATAGAGGCATACTGCCGCGCTAAGGAAGAACGCCGTATGAGCCTTCGGACGTTGCTAAGTTTCCTCCGATAAAAACCGAAGTTACTGAGAAAATTGTGCTAAAAGCTGGAAAGCTACACACAGTTCCTTTGAAAAGTTTCCACGACTTTACCTGCATGATCTCAAATAAAAGAATCGACAATTTCAACTCGATATTTTCGTTCGTTCTATTTTCATTTAATGTGACCAAGAAAAAAATTAAATATCATCCGAATTTCTAAATCGTTATGATGAGGCTACATATTTTCCCTTTAATTATGGTAAAAACTGGAGCAGAAAGTCAAGAATGATGACACGCAGTCCTACAGCATTCCTACAGTTTTGTAGGCGCTAATATGAGTTGATGACGCCAACTGACCGGCTGAACCGGCTGCACTGCATTTGGCGCAATGCGAGAAGTATTCGGGCAGTCTTGTAGGCGCTAATACGGGCGTCATGCCGACCGTGCTGTTTGGCGTAATGCGTGAAGTATTCCTAAGGTCTTGCAGGCGCTGGCCGCACTGTGTTTGGCGCGATTAGTCGAACTCGCGTTAGAACAATCGTGGCATCGAATAATAGAGCTTAAAAGGCCCATGCTGTGTTTCGACGTCGTATCAGTATTATTCCAACGTTGTCTCGTTTCTCTCGATCAAATATTTTTTTCCGAGAAAAGTTAGGAAAATTCTTTGTACCCACGACCATTATTCAAATATTTTCACTTCACTTATCATCAGCGGGTAAGACATTAATGACTTGTCAACTCAACACACTAACCCAGATCTGGCAAACCTGTACTGCTGTGCTAGGGAAAAACGCCGCATGAGCCTTCGGACGTTGCCAAATTTCCTTTGACTAATTACGAATTTTCGGGAAATTTTACGAATATTTTCCGTCCAGTTTCATATATAATTTTGTTCCGAATTTTATCTCGAGTATTCGAAAATTTCAAGGAAAAGTATTCGAAACTTTTCTTAAAAATTCATTTTTCCGAGAGGAAATTTTGCAACTCTCGGATGTTCGTACGGAATTCTTCCTCGGGACGGCAGTATGTGCACCTAGAGTCCCTTTATTCTGAGAGTCAAGACAATTTGAATCCATTTCTGATTGGTTCCCGTATTTTAGGCCTCCACAGTGTCATAAACGGGAATAAAGATTACATTTTCACCAATTGCAAAGATTATAATCTGGAATGGACCAGGGAATTACGGGTTCGGCAAGGAACAAACGGAATGAGAGGAGGAACGGGGAAAGGCATTTGAGAATGGGCCGATCAAAGATTACGAAAAACGTTCAATTTCTGTAATCTTTATTCCCGTTTGTGACATCCATGAGCCGAATTGTCTTGACTCTCAGTATAAAGGGACTCTATGTGCACCTATCCGCGGAGCTCATCTCAGGAAATCTATCGCGGGGACATACCTGTGAGATAGTTTTTGCCGTCGCTGAAATCCTTGTCCAGGAGAGTGACGTAGTGCTTGTCGGCGTGTCGTTCAACGGCAACGTCCAGCTTCACCCCCTGGCTCGGGTCGCAGGAGTCCTGGCCCACCTGGTTCTGGTGCACCTGGAGCGTGTAGTCCCGCTTCTTCCCGCTCGGGGCGCCACCGGCGACACCCGCTCCCGCCCGCTTCAACAGAGCCGTCCCGTCGATCTCCAGCCGGAGCAGATCTCCGCTCTGCACGCTCACCTCACCCCGCCATTTGTTCGTTGAGGCTCCGCTCTACAAAAATAAAAGAAAGAAATGAATTTTGAGTTTAGTCCAAAGATCTTTTAGGAACTTAAATTAATGACACAGGTAATGTGCTTGATGCCCACTTTTAAAGAATTAAAGGCATTTTTCAAAATTTACAGTCCCTCAAAATGAGCTTTCCGTGTGATTTTGCTGAAAATGGACCTTTAACCCAATTTGACCCTAGCCCCCCCAAATTGTAGCATACCCCAAAATCGTTTGACGTGCATAAGGAGACCATAAATATGGTGTTCTGTGAGAATTTTGAATGAAATCGAACGGATAGATTCTGAGATATCGCTGTAGACAGATGTGGGGGACGTCGGACGGACGGACACACATTTTTTCAAGTATGGTTATTTTGACTCCTGGGACCTTAAAACGTCTAGAAATGATGAAATTTCAACTTTTTTTTTTTTTCTTGGAGGATGACAATACTTCCTTTCTACCCTAGGGGAGCGAGAAAGTAAAAATGAGGATTATTTCTCAATACACGGTAAAGAACTTTAAAAAAGAAAATGTTGGCAACTGCGAGAAGAAATGAGAGGCTTGGAGGACAAGGCTTATAAAAAAAGGCTTTGAAAAAAAAAAATGAGATAATATTGATTTCAAGTAAAACTAGTTTTAATCCATATTCTGCGAGAATTTCGCTTCGAAATTCCAATTTTTCAGAATCCTCATGGTGATTTGACGGTTGCCTTTTTTTGTGTCAGAGTGACGTGCGATATATCGCATCAATTCGTTCCATAATTTCAGCTACTTGTCATTTTTTTCGAATTCTGAGATCGCACTTCTGTTGTCATGAGGCCAAAGAATTCGTGTGCTAAATTTGACGAAGAAATTCAATGAGATAAAGACAGAATTTTTTAGAGGAAAAATATCGCATTCGATACTGATAACGAAACTGCACTCGAATGCGATATTTTTCCTTTGAAAAAACTCTGTCTTTAAAACGTTGAATTGCTTTGTCCACTTTGGTACATGAATTCTTTAGTCTCGTGACAACAGAAGTGCAATCTCAAAATTCGTAAAAAACGACAAGTACCTGAAATTATAGAACGAATTTATGCGATATATCGCACGTTGCTCTGACACAAAAAATGGCAAACGTCGAAACACCTTAGGCTTGTTTTAACATTCTTACCACACAAGGATCCATGTCATTTCGAACTTTCAAAAGCGTATTTTTCGAGGTAGCAAAAACCTCACTTATATGCGCCTTGTCCTCCAAGCCTCTCAAATATGGTATTTACCTATTTAAATTAAATTAGGATATAATGATAAGGTGATAAACAACAAAGTAATGTTTGATTACAGTTACTCTCTATCTACTTGGTCCATAGTTTTGTAGGTCCGCTGACCGTAAATTTTAAAAAAAGGCCACAGTTGGTCACACTTTGTACCAAAGATCAATCGGACCGATTTTTATGATTTTTGCGGCCGTCGATAGGAGATAGTCTTTAGATGATCATGGGCACGAAGCATACCCTGCGGGTTGGGCTGCATAGTGGCCGGGGATCGTATATCCTAGTTTTTTCTTGCTTTTGAATTTGCCTTAATATTAGTGAACACGTTGCCCGTCGCGTTGTTCTTCGGTTTCATCAAGTTCGGAATTTTTTCATGAAAATATGTTTCCTCTATATCTGACGCGTGAGAATTTTCAAATTTTCCCAAACTATGTGAATTATTGTTTATTTATTCATTTATTTTATTCCGCGTTTCTACGAATAAGTGACCTTGTTACATGACGCGTTTTGGTAATGGTCGATTCAGTTCGAATCTGGGCCAAAGAGGGTCAAGAATTTTCATTTACGTCCGGCTGCAGACCTCCTCATTATAACCGTGCATTTTTCGGCTCGAGACGGTACGAAACAAAGCGACGACCATTTAAAAAGTAATAAGGGAAAAATGGCCTCGCGGCAACGACCTTTTCATCGCAGCATTGCGATCCTAACCGCATCGCAAAATGAATTTTCTTGCGTGAGCGCACGGTAAAACAAAACATTTTAAGAGGTCGGATAAGGAATTTTCGATTAAAACTGCAAATTTTGATGTTCATTTTGTCACATTTTCCTTATTGAGGGTTAATTCATTATTTAAATTGCAATAGTACCCTTAGATGCCCGAGACGAGTCAAATTGACACGAGGTAAAAATATTGAAATAATCGAGCAGCAAGCCAAAAATAAATTAAACAAATAATATTTCAAACTACATAGAGGTGAGAAATACTAAAAAAACTTATAGGAAACAAAACGAAACAAACGTTTCGACCGCCAACACTGCGGTCTTTTTAGTACTTTCGTACCTTATTACTTTCTTTCGTATTTCCCATCTCTATGTAGTTTGAAATATTATTTGTTTAATTTATTTTTGGCTCGTAACTCGATTATTTCAATCTATTTACCATGTTCTATGAAAGCCAGCCAAATCGGCATTAAAATGTATTGACACGAGGATTGCTAAAAGCAGGTGCAACGCGGGTTGTATGGGGCCGGTACTTACGAACCCTGGATATAGGTCTACAAATACATCTTTAAAAAACAATCTGACGTCAAATTGAAAACGAAAAAAAGAAGTAGTGCCGACATAACCGATGACAGACAAAACAACATTCGGCCTGGTTTTTAACTTTTCTCCCGAATAGGAGCGACGCTCCATTGGTGGCATAGAGCGCAGAGCAAAGAATTGCGAGTTCACGCCTCGCGCCTTCAATTTTGTAGATGCAACACAGGCATCCGTCGAGCACGAATAGTTGTATCTCTGCGCCGTCATCAACGCGCGTCCTCTTCCTTACTCTATTTCCATATTATGTTTGTCTTCGTTTGTTTTATTTGTAGTGGTGCTTCAAGGGCTACGTAAGCAACACGGTCTCCCTTTTTAACTTTTCTCCCGTAGCTGACAATGAGCGATCCCTCATTGCGGCAGCATTAGGCGAATTTCATTTAGAGGTTCGGTACTACTTTTGTGCCCGAGCCTCCGATCTGCCATTCTATTGGACGTATTTCTATCAAACGGAACTATGTGCATTATGAGGTGAGCCCTGTTATGCATGTGTGCTTATGGGTCTCAGGGCTCATGTCTTAATGCACATAGTTCCGTTTGACAGAAATACGTCCTATTTGAGTTCGGAACGTCCGATTCGGTGACTAATGAATGGCAACGTTGGGGCGCTATTTTGGTGCCACCTCGCGAGGTGGTTAATGTTGGTGATTGATGAGACAAACCGGGACAGAACTTCCCAAAGAGGTTCGGAACTTTCAATAAAATTCGCTCACAGAGCGGAGCATTGCAAGAGTACACGTCCCGCGCCATCATCGCGCCTTCAATCTTGCAAATGCAACACGAACCGGTCACATTGGTCCGGCTACCGCTTCTGGGGCTGTTACTGATGGCGAATGAGGAGGGGATGGGGTGAAAAAGCGCCAGTATAATACCAACTTGGGACAACTCGACCTAGGATTTTTGGGCGTAAAGCAAATCTGCGACATCTAAGGGTTATAAATTCAATGGATTCACTTTTAAACGTATACGTTTTGTAGTAACAAAGATACAGGGTTATTCAAAAGTCACGCACCACTGGCCATAAGGGGGGTGGCCAGTTGAAATTTTTGAGTAGCACCCCTCCCCTCTCCTCCTGAGGGGGTCAACGACTGGAAAGTACCTACAGAAGGCTCCCTTTCAATAGGAGGAAAATCGTCACCAACCGCAAATCGATATCTTAATTAGAACTAAAGTTATGGCCAGTGGTGCGTGACTTTTGAATAACCTTGTATTAACTCTTAAAATTTCAACATCATGTCCAACTTCTCCCATTGAGCTGCTCCACTGCGCGGCAACTGCTGGCAACTTTAAAAATCCGCACCGGAAGAATTTTCAATTATTCCGGAAAATTATTCCGCAGGCTCATGCAACCGCTCTGCGGTGCGTCGGTAAACAGCAGTACGCGTGAGCCTCGGCGGCCGTAACGGCTCGCGAAAATCCCGGCTGACGCTGAAGTGCACATACTGTTGTCTCCCGGAGGATGGCATCCACGTCAGTGTGAATAACTGTTTGTTTGCGATTTATGCACTGCGTGCTCCAACGCGTCTGCCGCGGTCCGGATTTTCGGGCTGATATTAAAATTCAATATATTCCACGGCGCATATTGTAACTACGCCGTTGTGGAGACAGCGACGAAATATTTCCTGCGGCAATTTTGTTGAAATTAAATTGTTGGAGTCGCCTCGTATCCGTGTCGGCTCATTTTCATGCGGATCCCCCCAAAGCGTAAGTCACCACGCGGGTGACTCTAATCGGTGTTGTCGGATTTATGGTTTTGGGGTTGTTTTTTGAGAAGGTACGTTGACAGCACGACGTACGCATGCGTAAGCGATGCGTTTCTTAATAGTTAAATAATGACACTAAAATGCAATTTTAGAATGGACCACTAGACAAGGTACGAATTTAAGCAATCTGATACATGTTTCTTAACCAGAATTTCACGTAAAACACGATTCACACGACGAAAATTACTGAAACCAACTCCTAACGAAGATATTAACTTTTTTATTTCACATTGGTTACGGGGAATTTGAACTGCCCGCTTACAAGAAACTCAAAGCTCTACGTGAGTCAAATCGCGCACTACAACGAATTCAGCAAGCTTCTCAATCGAGTAATGTTCATGTCCCACCATGTGTTGTTCAAACTATAAGCAATTTGCTATAGCTGAGCCAAAGCGTCAAGATTTAGGTTGCCAGATTTGTATATCGTAGAGACTGTCATGATAATGTTTAGCGCGCGATGTGAATCACGTAGAGCATTGAGTTTTCATGAGCGGGTGGTTTGAATTCACGCATCAAGAATCATTAAATATCTTTGTCAGGAGTTAATTTCGATAATTTTCGTTGTGCGCATCGTGTTCTACGTGAAATTTTAGTCAAGAAACATGTATCAGAATGCTGAAATTCGTACCTTGTCTAGTGGTCCATTGACTAACTAGTAAGCAAG